CTCTTTCGTCTCTACGATATCTTCAATGTTCCTTGGAAAGTCATAACGAATATCAAACATTCATTTGCAGTTAAATTGTTTTCCTTTTACACAGATACCTGCATCAACACTCATGTTGCAGGATCTCGTACAATTCTTATCAAGGTTTAAAAGTAACTCATCCGACTTCAAACTCAGTCACGTTGTCTTCAATGTTTGATTATTTGAAAATATCCAAGAAATGTAGCAAATTGCCACGTGTATGAGCTTCTTTCAGATAAAAAATACGTTCGAATTTGGTTTAACCGCATCTTTGAGTTACATCTGAGCAATTTTGAGCCAAAACTTTCGTTTTTAATGTAAATATTATTTCCTGCTTATTTGAGAAATATACCTTTTGAACTCAAAACCTGTTAATATAGTTTCACGAAATTTTCCATTCATTTTCCAAAGCATTTTTTAATTCATTCGGCAGTGAAGGTTATTTGCTTGAAAAGATTTCTACCGTAAGAAAATCGTAATTTACATTCGTTTTGATCTTTCAGTCTTTAAGCTTTTCAAACTATCTGGAATATTCCTGGAGCTAAGAAATAAAAGGCAATAAGGTAATCAAAACACGTTGAAAATGTCTTCACAGAAACTTCATAATTTTGTAGTGGTTTTCGTGACTCATGGTGGCATTCGTTGAAATTTTTGGCCCCGTTCTTCCAGTTTCATTGTAATGGATTGCCTTGATTTATGCGTCGATCAATTCGAAGCTTCAACATCCCTCCCGGGCAATTCCAGTCCCCCTGGCGGCCAAAATTCTTTTCAATTGCCCCACCCAAGAGCCAGACTTGATGGTCATTTTTTTCGTAAAAGTCAAAATTAGGGACCGTGACTGTCTAGTCATTTGCTATGCATTATAGTATAGACCTTAAAGAACTTTTTCTCCCGAGCCATTCTCTCATGAAAGCGAACTCTTTACCTTTAAACACCTCCATATTAAAAGATAAAGCACGTGTACTCCGCTGGAGATACTTGACACTTCCGATTCAAATTCCCCACCTCTGCCAGGCAAGGTCCAATTCCCCTTCCGCGGACACAGACGACAAGCGCCCGTGTATTTCCCGGGGGTGAGATGTTGAAGCTTCGAATTGATCGGTGCATTACATTCTAATGGATAGAGTTGATGTACCAACTAAACCAAAAATTGAACAACTTACGTTTAGCTGAGTTCTTCGCTTAACTTCGTTTTTTTTCTATTTCCAGTTACCAATCCTCTTTTCCAATAACATTTTTCATTTCCGTCTCTCTACTCTGTAAATCCAATGAAAACGTTGATTATTGACATGACAAGCCAAATAAACCATCAAACAAGCAAATAGGAAAAGTTACAAAGAAAACACCGTCAGGTATTTCTCTCTCTATTCTTTTTTTTGTTGTAAGATTAGCTGCTTGGTATGTTGCAAACCTGCACTACTGGTCTAGTTAGGATCGTGGTAGTCGTTATTTTATATTGGAGAAGTTATCTGTTTGAAAAGGTCCTTGTTTTCTAACGTGTTCGTGTTGGTCTCTTTAGAGATCCGCAACAAAAACTAACCAGACTAACAACAATCGATTAAAAGTAGCTTCTCAACTCAGACAAATGAAGACTTTCGCTCAAGTTCTCTTAACGTCAGTCATTTTTACTGACAACAGATCTTTTTTTCCGAACTGCCCTCGCCCAGACCATCGCACTAAAATCTCTCAAAAAATCCATGTTCTTTTCTTAAAAAGTACATTTTTAGGCTGAGACGGTGTCAAGGGGCTCTTCAATTTTTAACTAAATTAAAACTACTCTCAAAATTTAATAACTCATCTCTTGTGTTAACATGGTTTCTGAGAAAATCACTTAAATTTATTCTAAGACATTTTTAGTTCCAAATACTCAATAATTATACAAGTATTTCAGATTCTAAAACAAAAATAATATTCAGACGTGAAAGTTACTTTCCGAATTTAAGAATAGCAATCTGGTAAACATTACAAATGACTGCAAATAATCAAGACGAAAATAATACTCATCACTATTCACTAATTTTGATTTTACATTTAAAGTTTCTAGTAAGGAGCAAGAAAACAAAGAAAACGTCTGTAACAAAGATATATTGACGTAATAGTTTGGAATAGTTCAAACAATGGCAGAATGCAGGAAGCATTTTGGCGCCGTTCTCTATGTTTAATTGTCGCGAACTGCTTTGAACTACCAGTAAAACAACACAATGAAGAACTTACGTTTAACTTCTTCCTTTACATTCCACATTCAGGCTCTCCAATCCTCTTTTCAACGTCGGTTTCCATTTCCTTCTCACGTCTCTGCAAATTTAATGGATACATTTCTTAAGTAAAATGTCGCGCACCATTCAATAACAGTCCGTGCTAAAAATGGCCTCTAGGGAAAGGACTCTTATAAAAGAGGCAGAATTCTCCCGCTTAACTTTCTTTCTTTATAAGGCATTTATCGTTATATTTTGATGCATCATTCGTGAATTTAAATACCCATCTCCATCTTTTTCCCCTTTTTTTCCTTAGTTGTGCACATGGTTAGTACAAGGGTTGGCTTCTCGCTTTTCTCGAATTTCGCGACCCATTTTACCACGAATTCAATGTAGCATGCTCGCGCTATCCTTCCCTCAATCGTTTCAGCTGCAAAATGTACACTCGACTGCATAAACGTTGACACGTTTACAATGAAAGATGAGACCCTGAGGTTCTCTGGGCACACATATACCTGATAACCACCATTAGCACGTGGTAATTTATGTGAGATACCCACGCTTACCTGGAAGAAAAGGATAATCTTAATAAAGGTTTTCAGGAATAGTGAGAAAATTGAATCACTAATCATGTATCTGAACGAACATTCCCATAAAGCCGTTGGGTCTCATCATTCTTAGATCATATTTTTTAGGTGGGTCTTAACGAGGTGATGGCTCTTACGGCTAACGGTTAAAATGTTGGCTATTCTACAACTATCGGTCCATTCATTCCATTGTTGTCAGAACGGTTAACCTTTATTACGACTATTGGTTTAAATTTGTCAATTTTTATGCGTAGCGGTTAAATTTTTGGCCGTTTTACTCCTATTGGTTAACGCCATCGAGAAACTCTTTTAGGTATCAACATTTTTTGCATTTGAGTGTATATATCAAGTCCATATTTGACTTACTCTCATCAACAAGTTCGTATTTAATGGGAGTCCTGCCTCTTCCATCATCAAAAAACCGTAGTCCAAGAGAAAAAAAGACACGAACCAAAAATAAAAACATAGAGAATAGAAAATAGGACATTCATTTGTAGTTTTTGTTGTTACATGTCGTTATATAACATTTTAAGCTGTATTACACTTTGAAACTAAGAGCACCAAATTGGAGGTCTTAACAATAAATCTTTGAAAAAAAAACTCAAGTAGTCTAGATACTTACTTGTAAGGTAACTCGAGAAGCTCAGAGCTCGAAGGCGCAAGGTACATGTATTGCTTAACTGTGAACGAATGGACAAACACAACATTTAGGACGAGATAAAATTTTAATGAAGAACTTTTCTTTGATAATTTTCAAAAGATTTGATCCAATCAACATCTCAGAGAAGCTTATAAGAAAGTAGAAGTACAATGATTAAACGCAACGCCGACTTAAGCAAATAACCTATGAAAATTCTGCAAATGATTCATTAGAGAGATGTGTTTAGACGAGATCTTCGAAGAAGAGAGCACTATAAAAACGAATTTCTCTCTCACCTCGTGTAATGTCACCAACATTCCGCAAAAGCACACCATCATCTTTGGTTGCTGAACCAGAACTAGGGAAACTGCCTGACAGTCGTCTTAAAAGTAATCTTAGAAGCAGCTACGAACGCAGAAACCGGCAGAATATGTCAAGGCTTGATTTGAAGAAGCAAAATGCTAGCTGTAATGTCACACTGACCCAAGGTGTGAGACAAACATGAATGAATAATTAATCATCTCGCTCTTTGCTCCCTGCTTAAATCAATCACAGCAAGTTCCAAGGGTTTCATATTTACCCTAATGTTTTTTCCATAGGATTATATTTAACAGGGAAGAAGGAAAGGTTATTATTTGAAGAGATATTCACCTATTTATTAACTTCTGAAGAAGGTTTGTAGTTACCTACGGAACTACCCCCAGAACTTGAATATAGTACAACAGGTTAAACCGTTGCTATGGTAACTTGGTAGGTCAGATGGATTGATATAACAAGGACAGTGATGACGAGTTATTTCTCTGACACTGATGAAACAGCTAAAAGTATTTACAGTAGAATTATTTCATCAAACGAACACTGCTGAAAACAACTGAGATCCACCTCAATCAGAGAGACATCCAAGAAGTTATGCAGTGAATAAATCTATTCATTTCTGTGTATGCAATTTTATTCATTATTGACTGAGTTAGTTTCGAATTGCAAACATTCGCTAAATCCAGGTTAAATCGTCCAACGCAGACTGATAGGATTTAGATGGCTAATTTGCTATTAAAAGCCAATGATTTCACCATGTTAGAAATTGTATTGTATTTCTTTCCTTCCTTGATTCTCTTGATTTCGAGGTATTCTCAAATTTGAAAGAGATTGTCAAAAAAATATTTAAGATAGACCTGTAATCATTATTTTAAAGGATATGCTCCCAAAGACCTCAGCTTAAGGCATTCTGAAGAAAACATTCTCACTTGCTCGAAGGAAATATTGAAAATTTGGACCATTTTGGTCTCATTGGAAAGTATGCGCAAGTCAAAATAGGTTTCTAAGTTTAGATGTGGACTGTGGTGTTAGGCTGATAACACCATAATAATACTACCATTTCATCTCTCTTGAAAAAAAAATATTGTCTACGACCCAGCAATAAGGCACAACAAACAAAATAACCTTACATAGCGCCAAATATATTTAATTTTCATTTAAAAAAATCTACTGCACTGTTTAAAACAGTGAGTGAAGATAAACATTTGAAGCTTAGATCTTTCAAAGGTAATTTCGTTTATTTCAAGTACTTGATCGACAGCGAGCTACAAAGCCAGCAAGTTCCTCTGTTGACGGAATTGTCCTGTCTCTACGCTGGACCTGATTAGGATCATTCATAGTCTCAGTATTCTCCGCCGGCATCGTTGTTTTCTCGTCCGATGTGTCTTTCGCAGACAGGGACACATTAGCCCTTGAAGGATTCGATGGATTTGAACCCTGAGTCACGTGCGTGCTGGAGACGGGGCTAGCTTCCAATGTGGACGGCGCCTGATAGGGTTGCCATGGAGTAACATTGGGTTGCCAAGGAATTGGAGGCGGTGGAACGTTATAAGGAAAATTTGGTTGCCATGGTATCTGATTTACCAGTGGCAGTGGCGGTGGTGGGATGTTAGGAGGGGGACGCCACTGATACCCAGACCACGGCGGATGAACAAATTCTTGTGGGGGAGGGGGAAGACGGGGAATATCAGGGGTATATGAAGCAACCGGTTGAGTTTGAATTGGTCGCTGTAATTGTTGTTGCTGTTCTAGTGGTTTGAATTCTTTTTGTTCTTCATAATGAGAGATCTCACCAGTCTCATTCTCCCGATATCTTTCATTCTTGATTTCTTTCTGCTGATTAATTAGTTTCTTCGATTCTTTCCGAGTGTTTTTACTGCTCTGGGTGGTGTTAGTTTCTTCGTAGTAAAAGGAAGGTGGTGCAAATTCCTGGTCTCTTTCTAATCGCGGGTCTGTACGTGGTGACGATCGAGGTTGGTCCCATTGCTCTGTTGAAAGGAGAAGGAATAATGTAACTAGCATGTGTGAATCAATATCGGCGACTGAGAAACTGCGCACCTACCCCCTCCCTCGTCGGGTTAGGGGAGGGGTAGGTGCGCAGTTGCTAAGATACTGCCATTGATCCGCATGGGTTATGAAGGTTAGAAGGTGGAGGATAGACTTGGGAGAGGCAAGTGGAGACAGAAAACTGAGAACAGGACTATACAACAAAGAGCGAGTTCTGTCAGATTTTTCTGCCACTAGCAAGGGTATTGAAAGGAGTCTGAAGGATGGTCGAGTGGAAACAGAGGAGAAGAGTGAAAAGAGAGCAAAGAGCTGACGAAAATAAGCCGTAAGTATGACATTGCACGCAGAAATTGGTAGTAAAATCAACTAGGGAAATAATACATGTCAGTAAGCTTACTAATTTTGTGTCGTGCCCATTCGGGTAAATCCTCTTTTTTCAAAGGCCTTCGAGGCATATCAACATGTTCCTCTTCCTTCTCAAGTGATCCCTCCTCAACATTTTGTTCTGATGTTGTTGTTTCTCTCGTATCCTCTGAGTCTTTCTGTTCTTTCTCATTCCGTTGCAATTGTCCATTCGTCTCTACTGATTCCTCGCTTAGTTCGCCGGAAGCTTTCAGTTTTTTCAGTTTTCTTTCTCTTACTTTAGCAAGACGAGCGTCCATTGCAGCTTTTCGTTTGTCTTTTAATTTCTGAGTACGAACTCGCTGCTCCATTGTCTGATAAGACAAAAAAATAAACATTACAATGAATCAAGAGAAAATTATTTAATCTAGGACTAATTTCTTTTCTCTTCGTTTAAAATTGTTTGTTTCCATACCTGATCCCTCAGTTTATCTAACGTTTTCATCTGCTCTTGTCTTTCTTCTTCGTTTGTTGAAAACTGATAATATCCCACACCATGATTGCGGATTTCTACAATAGAAAAGGGAACGGGAGGATTTTAATATTAAACAGAGATATTTTGTCTGTCTTTGTCACAGACTGGATGGTTGCGAGGGCATCAAGTTCCAAAAAATTTTTACACCGTGCAACACAGGATGCTCAGTCCAAGTAATGTTTTATTATGCTAGAAACTGATATATGTTGCAGAAAACTTTGTAGATATTAAAGTTTGACAAGTGTTGTTTTCGGGCTACAGATAAATCCCTGCTGTATAGAGACGAGCTGGAGATTGGGACGAAATAAGACTGCAGGTTTGATCATAAGCCGCATTGCACACCTTTTACAAGCGAAAGCTTTCTCCTTTTGTTTGTTACTGGAAGGCGAATATGTTCTAGATTTCAGAAATTGATAATTAAGGGACTGTAACGAAATGATCCGAGCTCCCCATATGGATTGGAATTGAAACCTTCCAGACAACGGTCACCAATGAATATCAAATTTACCATCAAAGCGTATATCTTGATAATGAACAGGTCCAATGGGTTTATTCATAGCTTCTTCCTCTTCTTTCTCCCATTCTTGCCTCGCGAGCTCTCTCCGCATGTCTTCAGATAAAAGTGTCGGGGGACTAGAAACACAAAGAAATCTTGGTACAATAAGGGTAGGTACCACGTTTTTTGCGGCGAGTTGAAAAATTGCTGAGCAGTAATGCAACGTCGTAAGATTGGTCGCATTTTGGCGGGAACTGCAAACACGGGGTGCGCAATACGATTTTTTGGCGGAAAACCCATTATAAGAGGGGTTTGGTAGGAACGGTAGACCTAGAATATGGCGTGAGAGCCAAGCAAGGGTTTCAGCGGGAGGCAAGCACTATATAGCAGTGCTTTGGCAGGAAATATGCGTGTGGCGTGTACGAGAGGGTTTGGCAGGAACGCAAATTACATGGTAATTTAACAGAGAAAACTGTTAAGAGAAATAGCAATACAATATTCTTAGGACTGAAACTCTTATACTCACCCCTTTGGAGCATTCATTTCTTTATCCATCTCTTGAAGATGTTTCAGATCTTTACGCAGACATCTCCTTTCCCTACCCAGTGAATCTACATAATCAACCCTGAAAACCAATAAATGTATCATCTACGTGTGCAAAAATTTTGTACAATGTAAAGGGAATCACTCATTTGAGTGGTCCCACATTAAGTGACCGTTAAATAAAGAAAAAGAAAATACAAGTTGGCCTTTAAGACTCAGACCAGTTTTACCACAATCACTTAAGATAGGTACAAATATTACATTAATTAAGGGGAAACTTTTTTGAGATAGACAACTGACCCCTTGTAAAATGTGACTGCTTAATACTGTGCTGCTTAATACCGTTTCAATTGTGGTTCACTATCAAGATTAACAGTGCATAAATATTAGCAGTGATGAAAAATAAATCAATTGGCTTTATATGCGAAAGGTGGCTTTCTCAGTCCAAAGTTCTTTCATAACTAAATGCTCAGGATTTCAGAGCAACATTAAAAGTGAGGGCAAATTATGACCAACCATTCCTCTTCAGGTCCTGAGGGGGGTGGTATGTCTTCATCTTTCAGTTCATCTGAATCCTGGAGATGCTCTTCATCCTTTAGGGGAAAATGCACAACCAGTTTGAAAATAAACTCTTACATCACATGAAGTCTGAGTGAAAGTACAAAATTACTTTTTCAACCTTTTAATTAAACATTGGAATGCCACACAACATAGGATAACCTACAAAGGACTTTTTAAGGGTACCACAAATCTTACCAAATGTATTAAAACCAAGATCTGACATGGAAGATGATTACCGATGTATGTGTCATTACTAGGGCAAAAGCTTGTAAAGCTTCTGCAATGAAAAAAATATGACATTGATTTCCTGCCATACCTTTGAATAAATTTTCTTGTGGAAGTCCACCAAAAATCTCCCTCCTTCTTCATCATCACCTTCATCTTCAACAAAAGAAGGTAAAAAAAATATGAAATAAGGATAAAATAAATGAAACAGAAATATAACAAAACACTTCAACATATCTTGTTCACATGCAGTAACATACAGTGTCTCACCTTCAATTTCACCTCTTTCCATCTTCTCATACAATGCTGCTTTGGCTTCCAAAGCTTGCCTAAAACAAATGCAAAAAGGAGCAACATTCTATCATTAACCTCCCATAATATCATTCAATTAATTTTTTTTTTCAATTGTGTTTCATTAATATAGAACCATTTCAGGTTTGTACAATCAAAGTCAAACAAAAAAAAACAAAACAACAGCCAAATTTTACAATATAAAATTCAAAAAAGAGCACAGGAATCCATTTTTAAATTCAAAAAAAAAAAAAAAAATGACATTAGTTACATCTTAAGACACAGTAAGTTGTTTTAGTTTAAATTAAGGCAATGTCTTGCATTCTAGTACTAAACTGTTGAAGAGACATTTTCCTAATTTCTTAACAGATACACTGTAAGTCAGCCAGTGCTCAACAAATGTCATATGCTTTATTTTAGCTGAGTGTGTCAATCTGTGTTCTCTAAAATCAGTCCATTGCGAAATGAAGACAGTCCAGAAATGCTCAGATCAATTAAACTTGTCCTATATCTTTGGCAGAAGCTTGATAGTCTCTCACCTTCAAAAAACCTTCTACAGTACTGTATCTCTGATTTTTATGTTCATAGTTACATTTAATCTGAAGTTAGCCAATGCAACAAAATTTATAAGCACTCAGTACTACATTTCTGAAATTCCCTTGACAATTGCTGATAACTGAATGGGAATAAACATAATAACAATGATATCAGTTTCATGGTGGTACCTTGATTTTTGCAGAGCTTGTTGTTCCTCTAATGACAATTCATCTTGTTTGGAAGGTACACTCCCTGAGTTTGTAACTTTTGTCTCCTTTTTAACTTTAGCCCACACTGGAGGTTTCTAGAAATATATTCAATTTTTCAACAGAATTAGAAAGAAGAAATATTCATTTTTCACATTAAGTTACCAGGATTGCTGAAAATCATTGGTTTCAAACAAGTTCATGGAAAACTGTAAGTTGTAGAATTCTTGGTTGCCTTTTTTTTTCTGTCTAATTTATTTGTTTCAGCTCTCTCCTCTCCTTAGTATAACTTTGGGTGATATTCAACTTGTCTTTTAATCTCAGAAGGAAAGAAACCTTATTGATTAAATCACAACTTGTATGATAAAAGGATCACTACTTTATGCAAAGTTTGATTAACATCGGTCATTGATTATACAATGTAATTGTGCCAACACTATGCAGCACATGTACTTAATTTAGTATTCTGGTATCCAACGAGCCTTTTAATTTCGGTAGGAGATATAATTGATTAAATTGCAATTTGCATGACTTTATCCAGCGTTTAATTAATATGGCCAATTATTGTACAATGCAATTGTTCTAGCACTATGCAGTACATGTAATTAATTTATTTTTCTACGCATACACACAGCCTCAATTTATTTGTACCAATTTGTTGCTTCTATCTTATAAATTTAGGTAAAATTTCCGCACAGCCCCATCTTACATTATTCACTCAGTTCTTGAATAGAGAAAACAATGACAAAAACAATACATTGCCATTGGGAAAACAGATTTTTTTTACAATAGTATGGGGCTCTGCGGAAATTTTACCTAAATTTAAGCTAGGAAGGACCACAATGCAGACGTTTGAACCTACCTTAGGTTGTCGATTTAATATCTTTTCGCCTCCAAGTTTCTCTCGCTTGAACTGCGACTCTTTCCGGGCGAGTTCAGCCTTTAAGTCTACAATCTGAGAGAAAGCTATTTCTATCAGATTGCATCACTGAAAAATAAATAGTTCAGGTGAAATGTGAAACACATAACACTTACCGAAGCTTCATTCACGTCGAAAACTCGTTTGGCCGCCATGTTATTTTTGAAAGCGCGTCCGCTGCCCTATAAATAGTTTTGGCGGGCTCAATAGGATATATACTTCATGTAACATCATACGTTGACCGACATTAAGGAAAGAGACTAGATCAAGGGGAAAGAGGCACATGCCGTCTGCCCTCCTCCCTCCTTGATCTGTTATGTGCTTTTGCTTAGTTCAGAAAGCGGAGTGAAGAGGCTCTTATGGGCACCAGAACCTAACTTTGGGCCATTGAGGAATATTTGAGCCGGCACCTAACGAGCGATCAAGCTACCAAAGTCTTTATCTTTGATATGAGAATAATCTGTAATGAAGCACTTGACTTTAACGTACTCATATCGATCAGCAATTGATAAAAATCAAGCTAAACCTGCCACTACGGTAAAGACACAAAAAAACATTTCATCTGGGGAAAATTCCGTGAAAATATTAAGCCCAATCTGTTTCATCCACATTACATACGTGCTAATAGTTCTATGAAATATCCTGAATTGATAGCTTCTTAACTTACCAGTACTTTTACAATAGAAAGGGATACTGTGATAAGCTGTCCGATCTCCGACCGAGACGGAAGACGTTTATTCTATTTACGTTGCACATTAGTTGGGCTGAATAGCAACTGATTTTCGCAAGGTGTCATAAGTAAAACTGGTGACCTTTCGTTTTGAATAATCTCTCTATAATTGGAGATTTGACCACAGTTAACTGTTTACCAAACTTTCTAATCTCTGATTTCCATGAAACTAGAATTGTGTAATATCATGCTCAGTCTTGAGTGTCACCATTTTCCTTTGATACATTACATGCAGTAAATGCAGCTCTCGGTTTGGCCATGATTACATTCCATTTACATGATAGAATAAAAGGGAAGCATTTCTGCCTGATTCTTTAATTTTTCTATCCTCTGATGGAACCAAGTGTAAAAACAAATAAATGAAGTAAAAATTTTACGATCTATGCATGTAACCGTGTGAAAAATGAACAAAAATTTGTAGGAAATTGAACGAGTTCTAATGTCCCCTTTGTAGAGTAACCTGTTCCGGTGTGTTCTTGAAAACCCTTCAGCCAAACCTTATTAAAACGAAGGACTGATACGATTGTCTAAATAAAACAAACGAAGTAAAAGTACGTTTTATAATTTTTTTTAGAGGAAAGCCTAGACACATTTACTTGATGTTAAAACACAAGTTCACGTATTTTAAACATTTTGGTCCGGTTATTTACAGGAAGTCTAACCCAAACCGCGGTTTCTCGCAATCAGTAGGCGTTAAATACGTATTCTATTAAAAAGGGTTGTTTTCATAAAATGTCCTTTCAGTGCTAGTTTTTTGCCCTCTTGACACTGTGCACAAAAATAAATGTTCAGATAAAAGATTCAGCTAAAATCAAGATAGCGGTTTTGTTAAACAACGGCTAAACTTTGTTTAAATAACTGGCCCTTTCTGTCTCCTTTTTCTTCTCTTTGAGATTTCTTCTCCATGGTTGTTGAGACCAAAAGTAGAACGGAAATGGTTGTTAAGGGTAAACTTCATCAAATGAAGAGGCCTCACCCCCACCCCTCCCCACCTCCCTCTTATGAAAATGACCATGAATCTCATATAGTGAGATGTGAATGTTGTGACTGAGAGGTAAAGTTACGGACGTCGCCATTGACTAATAGAATCAAGAATTAAAAAGGAAAGAATTTCAATTTCTGGGTTCGTGATTTACACTGAGACCGTTAAATTCGAGTTCGTGCAATTTCGTCTTTCGCTTAATATGGTGTTATAAACGTTTTTCTGTAATTTAATAACTAGGTAGGTAAACTCTATCTTCTGGGAGCGACGGAACTAGTGATAGTGGGAGCTAATCTCCGTCAACTGCTGAACATCTCAACTTCAAATTCAAATATGAAAAGGAATAATTTGGAGTGATTTATTGAAAACTTATGTAGGATGTATTATTTGGTGAAGCCAAATAAATAATTAGAGAACTATAGACAAAGTTCCTTAATAATCATTCTCTAACATAGGCAAATGATTTAACAAATCCGCCTCCTCCAGTTATTCAGCTCTTCCGCTTTTCTGCAAGAGATTTCGACTGACCACATTGCACAGTAATTTCTCATTGTGACGTTCATTGACTCTTATTTTTCGAATAGAAGCCCTGTGACTTTACGTATGCATGGTGCCAGTTCCAACAGGAACAATGAAAGTCTTGTTTCGCCTACAAACCTTTGTGGCAACTTAAGTTGACTGCCTATGTGATCATCTTTTGTATTTCCCTCCTGGGAAATACTGTGGTCGTTGCAGTTAAAACCATTTCGAGACATCTTTCACAACAGGACAAAGGCTGCCTGTAATTATTTCTTAATAAACATGGCCATCGCGGACTTGGTTGTAACGGTTTTTAGCATACCGGTTGAACTGATTACAACAGAGGCTGATCCTAAATGGTTGGTTTCTGGAATATTTGGCCTAATTCTCTCAATTTTTTCTGGTTTCAGGCCGTAAATATTTTAACAGGCAGCTTATCAGCCATTGCCGTTGATCGTTTCCTTCTGATGTTTCACCTTCACAAGAAGGTCATCACTCCGCGCGCTGCAAAGCTTATCTTACTTTAATATGGCTGACTACGATTACTTTCACTTCGCCTCTCTTTGAAGTTTATCAAATCAAAACTGAAAATATTGCAAAAATTTGCTACTCATACTTCAACAGTCTTCCGTCCATTCAAGTGTATTTCATTTTCATTTTATAGTTTTCGTAGCCACGCCCTTCGTAGTAATGGCCATTGGCATGAAACTTTGGTTTAAGAAACTTGCCATGAATCAAACAAGCCGATCATATCAAAGGAATGAAATGATAAACAGAAGAGTGTCTGTCATGTTGTGTAATTGCTTTGACATTTGAAATACGTTAGTTTCCTTTCTGGCTCGCCAGTGTTTATTGCTCTACTGCCAAGTCCACATCAGTCTCTCACGGCTACCATCTAAACTTTGTTGCGAAGTTCTTGAGACTCTGTAACTCCGCGTTGAATCCGTGTATTTATTTCTCTTGCAGTGAAAGTTTTTGTCAGGGTGTCAAACAACTTCGGCAGAGAAGTTACAACTCGGTTCGTTGCAAAAGGGGCCAAGGTTTCACCAGCTATACGGTGAATAGGAATGACGCCTTGCAGACCGTAAGCGTTAAGCGCTTTTCGACTTACTGTTGGGAAAACAAAGACCAAACTAACCAAAACGGGTTACTAGAACAAACAGATGCTTCTGGAGGGGCCAATGAGAACTCAAAATAAACAGATGAAGCCGGGTACAACCGCGACAAGATGTGATTGTTACGACTGGTGCACGTATAAGCTCTATAACTGATTATTTAGGATAATGGTGCCAAATTTCTCGACCAATCAGATGCAAAAAACAAAACTCAGCTAAGCATTCCCTAATTGCTCACTATACCCAGATGAAAATTGCTATAAAAAATGTTCATACCAGACATTTATAAACCAAAGAGTCCAATTGCTCAATCGTTACCTTCAGTTTGTGGTGAGTTTGGGGCAACTAAATTTAACTTAACTCTATGCATAGCTCGGATTGGCTGGATATAGTTTATTCTTGTTTTCATAAACGTCTGCTTGTGCCAACACCAGTGAAGTCAGATTTCGTCCCTCAAGACTTGTCATTGAAATGTGACCGGGAAAAAAACTGGGGCCTGGAGCTCGTTCTCTTCAATGCTAGCGATACTTTTAGCCTCTGACCGTTTAACCTTCAACGAACTGAGCAATGAAGCAAGAATTCTGTGACGCTTTCAAACTTGACAAAACTTTAAAAAGATTACTATTAACTGTATTAATACCGCTGATCATAGCCTGTTTTCAAAATTCAAATATCGATGTTTATTCAATTGTGGCCTAACTAATTTTAACCATTAATAACATTTGTACCCATTGTCTGGGCCGGAAAACCTCCACCGTTATATTGTGACGAAGTGACAAGGTTGGATATGAAGCTGACAAAAACACGTTCATATTCATAAAAGTTTGTATAAGTAAAAAGTACGATTTTCAAAAACTTTCTTAAAATACGGACTAAAATTCTTAACATCTGTTTTTATAGCTTTACAGAAACGGGGAACATTTGTTAAGTGCAATCCTTCCTCTGACTGGCCGCCCTCGATCATGTGACCATTATCCAAATCGAGTAGGTCGACAAGCCTGCAACCCCGATCTTGTTGTGAAAGACAGATGCTGTTTTCTAAAATAATGTAGTCTGTGCCGTGTTGCCGAAGAATCTTGTAGACTTCTTCGGGCGGTCGTCGGGCGTAAATTTGATAAACCTGAAATGAACAAAGCACGAGAAACAATGGTCCGTTTTTATGATTAATGACAGAGAAGCCAAAGGGTACTTTGAACTTCAGCTTAAGAGGACAGAAGAAGATAGAAAGCAAAATAACTGGTTTTTTTTCCATTTTTGTGTAAATGGTGACTAGAAGTTAAATCACCTACTTTTGTCCTATTGGTCAAACCAGAAAGTTGAACAATTTTCAAGTCATACACGAGTGACATCGACGCTATTCTCGGCAACCACCCATTTCCCATCATTTCACTTTTAGGGCGCATTTCGATTGAGTGTCTTAAAACAAAAACAAGGGAATTTATGACAAGGAGCCAATAGGAACTCAACTCGGAAAAAAGCACACTGCCCAAAGCGCGGGAAAACGTAAGTGGCAAGTCGCAATTTATAGTTTTGAATCTGATTGGTAGAGAAAGTGGCGCGAGATTTTTCACAACAGTCCAACAGAGCAAAATACAGTAAAACCAATGTGGTAACACATCACTTTCGACACTTAAATGAAGTGACATTGTGATTTTTAATATTTTACCCCTTGGGGTGACTGTGTTCTAATTTGTCCTTACAGTATTACCATTGGAGCAAATCTAAAGCTCAGGAGAATAAAAGATATGATCACCAATTTAAGTAGCCCCTGATTGTCACACAAATTCTCCATATCATTACTACAGAAAATTTAAAGAGAACAGTATGGAGAATATGAGTGCTAATGTTAAGTGTAAAGGGTTAAGGGACGTTCAGAAAGTGCATCCTCAGATGGAGTGTATCCTCGAAGGAGTGTCTTAAAACTAAAAGATTAAAATACAGAATCAGCTTGTATGTTTAGCAAGAGATTACCTGCTTAGTTCTTTCTCTAAGGAACTTATTCTCGTAGTGCGGATGGTTTGTGATGTGTCGGTCTGTACAGAGCTTTACTCCGGCCAGTAACTGCATACTTCCCGTGAACGAAGCATCTGGAGGGGTGTTCTCACTAGAGACACGTAATTATTTGTTAGCACAATCAAAATCTCGCAAGATTATTCTCATTAGTAAGAGTTCTGTAGTTGACGTCAAGTCAGTTTTGGGAACGTAGAACCACATTGCGACGGTTCCTCTTGCTTAAAATCTGTTTATTGAAGGTCGACATGATAATCTGGTAGGTATCCTATGTTTGACACAGTGACTCCCCCTTTATGAAAAATCCGACGTTATGGACGATTCTCAATCGAGCTGGTAAGTCAATGAACTTACTTTATCCATTTCATTAACTGTACAGTGTCAGGATCGTAGAATTCTCTCAGTTCTTCGAGTTCTTTCAGAGCATTGGGGAGACGCTGAATAAAAATTGTAACAGGCAATAAAAATTAACAACTTCGAGATTCAAAAGACATTCTGTCGTGGAACCACAATAACAAACTTTACACTGAAAGAAAACGGCTTCAGCAAATGCCAACCTCAGCTAAAGAGTGCCATACTTACACTGTATAGCAGAAGAGCAAGAAGCATAATAGGAACGCCATGACCCATGACCTTTCCCTGGGAAGAGAGATAAAAAAGCAATGACTGTATGGACCATTATCGTACTTAAAAATGTCAATACTTAGTTGTGGTAATGATATTGTGAAGTATCTGAATATGAAGTCTCTTTCGGCGTGTTAAGTCAAACTGCAACTAATTTTTCTTTAAGCATTTCGTTATGTTACGATACTGTGTCTATGATTTGCCTCACAGTGTGTTATATGTAATATAGCTAATAAATCAGTACTTCATATTCCTATTATGCACGCTGATGACGTGCATGTACGCATTGAAGTGTAACAGGGGGAATCCCTCATCTTAAAATATTAAAGAAAAATCTGTTGAAAATGTTATCAAAACAACTGGTTCATGCGTCAGCTGCCAGTTCATCCAGATACAAAGCGCTCGTAAAGTTCAGAGAGCACTCAAGCTCTAGATGATCTCGGTTACGCCTTAGGCAACTCTTGCGCATGCTTCGAGCTTCCCAAACTACCTGAGTGCTTCGTTGAGCAATTTTAAACTGAGTGTCGAAATCAATCCGGGATTGCTTTGGTTGCTTCACTTCGCTCAGTGATTGGCCCAGAAAACTCGCGCCAATTTCTCACCCAATCAGATGCAAAACTAAAACAAATGGCGACTTGGTCGCCCGCGTTTTCCCGCCCTTACGACAATTTACTTGTTTTGATTTTGCGTTCTTATTGACTGTTAAAGGTACTTTACTTTCTTCTGATTGGCTGTTTTCTTTAGTTTTGGTTTCATGACAAACAATCAAGAAGTGCTCTATCCCGATGAACCAAATTAATTAAACGTTACTTCTCTCAGCCACTCCCCGCAATCACGATCAAGTCAAGATTCTCTTGGACGAATTGAATTTCCGCAGCATCGAGTAAAAATACTTACGTATATTTGCTTGATTCCTACTTTGTTCAGAGCCGTTTTCCAGAAGGCCTGGTTGCAGAATATTCCGGCGGCAAACAGGCACATGTGCGGTATCCACAAATACTTAAAGCGGACAGTCGTGATAGCTAGAGCACCAAAGAAAACGCTCTGTATGGCTTGATAAACTACCTCAGGATGAGAGTTAAGGTAAAGACATTTGGTTTCTTCAGCAGTATCCTTAGGTTTAGATCTGAAAAGATTGGTTGAAGGAGTCGATATATTAACGCGATAATCAGACAAAAATAAACGGCATTTGCGCAAAATTGAAATATGCATGAGCCAAATTCCAGCGTTTACAATAAATTGCTATCCTCTACAACCTCAGCAGGCCTTGTTCCTTTTTTGTTCGTTTTTGCTTAAAAGATCTTAAGTCTTTATTAAGGAAGCAACGACCTAAATGACAGGGATTTGGTAAGGAATCTAAGTTTCTATAGCAAAAAATGTGATAAGAGATAACAGCTTAATAATTAAACGTCGTTAACCCTTTCACTCCCAAGATCTCATAAGTAATTCTCCTTATTATCTGCCATACAATTCTTATAAAGTTGGTTCGGAGGATTTGGTATTGGATGAACTTAGAGTCCCCTGATTGATATGTTTCTTAATTCTCATCACTTTTCTTCTTAATATTGTGTTGATATTGTGAGGAGAAATTCTGTCTTGGTCACTTCACGGGAGTTAAAGTGTTAAGGCACAACATCTTACCTCCAATTCATGAATACAGTATAGGCCAACAGAAACAGTACGGCTAACAAAGAGACGACATAACACGGGAAAACCACACCGGTGGTAAGTCTCGAGTAGACAGCCAAGGGACAGAACTGAAATGCTTTTTCACAAAGATACAGCAGCGAATCGAAATCCCTGGAGAGAAATCACAAGAAAATTATTAGGCAATGTCTTAAGGGAGCGTCCAAATCTTTGATCGTTTTAATTTCATGAAATTCGAGAGTCAAGTTTTTAGGGGTTGGTTAGGGGCAACAGGCACAAAAAAGCCTTTTTATTTAGCCCTTTGCTTTGTTCGAAATCACAAAGCAAACAGTATTAAACTTCCACTGGATAATGAATACGTAATCGTGAAAAAAGGAGAGGAAACTCTATACATTTTGTTTGTTTAACTCAAAAAACTCTAATCAATAGTAACATACCTTCCAATACCGTAACCAAACTTCGACTTAAGGAACTTGAAGATGTGCTCATCGGATTTTATTCTGAATATAACCTGCAAGAGGATAAACGTTTAACTGACTACAGTGCTACAAACAACAGAAGCAGACACCCTATTCAACAGTTCAAGACACAGTTAAACACACAAGGAAAAATACAAAGAAGGAATACTAGACACATGAAATATAAAACATGTTACGAGTGGGAACAAGTGCAGACAAAGCAAGTCACTTAAGAATAAAGAAAATATGGTGCTACGTCAGTGGAGGTATCACAAGATAATTTGGTTTCATCATCTGAGTTGATCATATAAATTGAGGATCAATATCAGTGTCTGGGCAACTGCCCACCTACCACTCCCCTAACCCAACATTAACCCTAACTTGTTATCAATTGACTGTTGTTGAGTTAGGGGAGGGGTAGGTGGGCAGTTGCCCAGATACTGATATTGATCCTAAATTGACTACCGTAAAGAGTTTCATTCGCTCTGACGACGACCTTACGCTCGAAATGTCAGCTTTCGAAACTGTTTAAGGTGATTCCTCAGGAAAAAAAAGTTATCGAACAATTATTTTTTTAATCTTTCCTCGAATATTCCTTGCCAATGTCTGTTCGAAAAATACAATAAAAAAGATAGGTCACCGTGCTTGTTTGGGAGATATTAAAGGCCAAACTTACCCTATTTATGCCTCTACTGGCACTTATCACGCGCGTTATTTCATCAGTTCACGATACATTTTGCTCCAGCTTGAAACAAGGGTTTTTAAAGTAAAACTTGATAGGAAGAGTCTTTAGCGTATGGGACAACTTTAATATATAACTTGCGGGAAAATCACGAAAATTTAAATGACATCGACTCAAAATGTTCCTCGAGTTGTTCCTTTCAAGGTCATAATTAGCATCCTGGAGTAATGGGCTTTGTCGAGCTTTATCTTTGTTTCCCTTCGAAGAACTTTTTTAAAAATTCCCCAATTGAAAGGGGATAAATTTTATACCAGAATTATGCAAACGAGAAAAATATAGGTCACCGTGCTCTTTCAAAAGCTTAAGACCACCGTACCTCTTTATCTGGTCCATAGATAGAAAAACAACAACCGTGTTCTCGGAAAGCGCGCGCATATTCCCCTGATTACGTGATTTTTGTGCGCAATACAGGATGCGCCGTGGAAAACTGAGGAGTTACCTTAAGGTGGCCAATTTAGAATTAAGTTGATAAAGCCAAAATGACAAGTCACTGAGGTTGTAAAACCAAAACCAAAACTGTCTGAAGTGAGGGAAAACGTGATTGTCGAAGTCATCGAGTCATTCACTCTGCCAAAAGGGCTAACGCCCGAAACGTCAGCTTAAGAAACTCACATACGGTGCTCATTTTACATTTATTTATTAACTCAGTCGACAAAACCTGCACTGCGTCTGAATGGTTGAATTACAGAGCGTAGAGTGTTAAACAATAAAAATAGCAATACTGCATTTATTGGCTATAAGCCGAGACCCCAAACTTTGAACTTTGCACGTGTAGACTCCGCATAACGAGAACCAAAAATAAATCGAAAACATCCGGCTATAAGCCGTGACCCATTCTTTATTACAAGACTAAATTGTTAACGACGGGAAAACTTAACATTTTCTGAAGAAAATCACTTTAATTGTAATATATGAGGCTTAGACGATGGTGATTTATGGTGATTCAGCAACATAATGGAAATATACCGATATCTAGCCGCAAACCGCAGTTTACGCAAAAACATCTGTCTCCATGTCAGGAATACACGATCACAATAAGGAAAAGGTCTACCTGTGAGATAGGACCGCCAAAAGGAATAAGAAATGATCAACTGGCTTATTATAATTGTTACTGAATGGCTTATGGTAATATATTATTTCCATTCATTTTCCAACACTAATATAAGAAACCCTTACAATGATCTTATACGATAAAATATATTTCTATTTTTATCGTTTAACAAGAGGAGCAAAACCAATCCATCCCCTGAAAATTTTAACACTTGGTTAAAAACTGCTTTGCAATGCTCCCACAAGGGTACATGCCTTAGCCTGTCATGACCCCATAACATTGTGTATAAGAAAGTTAGAACTAACCTTAGAGACAAAGCTTATGCATCCTGCTAACAGTAAAGTAGCAGCAATATTGATGATAAGCTTCAACACTTTGTAGATGAAACTATCATTTGAATTGTCTTCACTCTGGAAAAATAATGATTTTAGAGATGTGAAAAACAATGCAATCAGGAGCTGTGCACCTTTCATAAAAAGGAATCGCTTCCTCCACAGCTACTTTTCAAATTCAAACAGGCTAGGTGTTTCTAATCGATCAGTGAGGCAACAAGAGCAATTAGGCATATCTCTTTATTTTTAATTCCCATTATTCCTGTTTTGTTGTTGTTTTAATATAAGTTTGGTTGTGTCTTTAAATATCGTGTCTAGGTTACTGTCACATGCATTTTTTCAAATTTCAAAAATTTTTTTTTTTCATTATTTCAAATTTGTGTGTATACATAAGTTTGTAGGAAGTAATCTTAGACAGGTATTGTACAATGAAAAATTAAAACCCTCAACAAACATTTTCAACTGAAAATGACTTTAACCAAATGTCCCAACCTTTCTAGTAAACTTAGAAATATTGAATCAATTAGAACAGGTTATACAACTCACATGGAAAGTCAGGAGAATAAAAGATGCAATGGCAAAACTCAGTGCAAGAGAACAAAGAATCATGTCATTCACAAACTGTAAAATACACACTCCAAGAAGAGAACTAATCACCATCAGGTACATAGTGCGAGCCTGAAAAAGAAGTAAAGAACATTAACTTGATATGACATTTGATATTAGCAGCATGCAACAATCCTTGGTTCATAACATCAGAGAAAAACTCTAAGGTAACTGTTGTGGTATTCAAATGCAGAAATGTGTTGTCTTCTACATGACTGTATGTCTGTGATATTTTTTACTTTAATTTGTTAAAAACAAGCTCAACATTTAATTCAGTTTTTAACATATGACTGTGATTCAGAAAAAAATTTAAAAAATGTCTTTTAATGAAACTGCATTGCCTAAATCAATTTCTTCTTCTTCTTCCTCTCTTCTTTTTCTTGATTTTATTATTCATTTCATACACAGGTCACTCCATAAAATGTTTCATTTCTCATTGCCTCAATCCCTTCTCATGCAAGTGGGTTCAGGTTGGCCAAAGAGAAAAAAGAAAAAGAAGAACTGACTGTAGATGCCTGCATTCAGGAAAAGCCTAGTTTCCTTTCTGAAAAACATAGGTTGGTTAAGCAAAAAAAAAAACAAAAAGAATTCGTAGGGATGATGACAAAATTGGTATTTTTGTGAACTCTGAACTATTACCATGATTTCATATTGAGGGAAGAGAACAGCATTCCTAACCTTATATTTGGGGATAAAGCCAAGGGAATAGGTACCAAAGAATGCCATAGACTCCAAAAGAAGAATGAACTGGGCAAACTGCCACACTAATGTAAAGAAAAATGTTGAAACTGCTATGCCAACCAAACATACTGCCTAGGGAGAAAAATTAAAACAATTAAACTTAGACATGAAAATATTACTGCCAAGTTAAAAAAAGGAAAAAGAAGAATCTTATGCCCTTGCATTAGTCATACTTATAAGCACTTGTCTGGGTATGAAACCTCCCAAATAAATGGCAAACTAATAATTACTCATGTAACAAGTGCTAACTATTAGGTTACATCTATAACAACATTTATTAAGTTGGCAAAATCTGTACAGACATCACACCAACTGATCATGATCCCAGCTTGATTCCACACCAACTGGTTATGATTCCAGATTGTCATCTTTTTACAAGAACACCTCTGTACACATACCTTGGGCTCTTTTACTCATCCAGATGGTGCTCCCTGGTTGGATTTTTTATTGTATTCTACCCCTTCCCCTCTAACACAAGGGATATGACCAGGACAGGTTTTGAAGAAAAGCAAAATCATCCACATATCAATAATAACAATTTCAGAACTTTAAAGAGCTGCAAAATACCTGAGCAAGTGAAGAAACATTCCTCTTAAAGTAAACAGTAATAAATGCAAGTTGTGCAAAAATGAACGGAAATCCAAAACTCTCACGCAGTGGAATTGTAAACCACAGTCGTGTAGTTTCATCCCTGAAACACAGCAGAAGATATTCAAGTTTAGCATTTAATTGAATACCATGAAGTAAACTAAGAGGTAATAAAATGTTTGGTCAGGAGTGTTCAAGGTGCACTCAGGATTTGTGATGATCGATCAATGCCATTAGCGTTTCCTTTGAAGAACATATTAAAGTCTTTCAATGATAACCTTACTTGTTAAAAATATAGAAACTTGCAGACAGCAGCCCAGCTAGCCAAGAACCACTCAGTACCCATGATGATACAAACAACGACACCATGTACATCCCATGTAAGCCAAAGATGGTATCAATATAAAAGTACACATATTCCACAGATCCCTTCAAGAGAAGACAAAAAGAAAGTACATAAAAATAATCAAAAAACAATAAATAATTAGACACATAATTAAACTGATACAAATTATTATATAATTTAACCCACAAACTAGAGTAAAGTAATTGACAGATTTAAATTACAGTTTATAATTATAATTAGTGTTACTCAACAAGCAATCTACCACAAATTCTGCAACCTGATTGGCTTTGTTACTCACTATCAATTCCCTGACAAATGGTGGGTAAGAGTAGCCTAACAATGTGAGGCTCTAATGCAAAATTAGATAACAACAAGGAGCCTGTCTTGCCATTTAGTTTCAAATGACCAGTACATATACACTACAACAATAATATTACTTGCTCTCAATTTCTAAGCAAGACAGTTGATTCAGGCTTTTCCCTCGTTATCTAATCTTATCTAATTGCAAATTATAAAAAAAATCATAATTATAATTAGTGTAACTCTACAACCAATCTATCACAAATGCTGCAACCTGATTGGCTCTGCTACTTTCAATCAATTCCATGATAAAAAGTGGGTAAATTAAGTAGCCTAAACTAATTGTCAAATTATAAAAAATACAAGGATCATAAAATTATCATTTCTCTACAAAAGAGTAGAACATGTACCTGTAATGGTAAAATTCTGTACAGAGCTGCTAAAATAACTTCTTGATAAATATTAAATCTCTCTAAAATATTTATTGTCCTCAGGTGCTCTGTTCTATTGTCATGCATAACATCGTGAATACCTACAAAATTTTAAGACAAGTAGCAAATAAGAATTGTTATGTTCGATCATCTTTTGATGGCTAAACTAGTTCTTCTAGTCTTCATCAAGAAATGGTGTTTGATCATGAACTAAATTAAATATACTTCATTTTACCTCCATTCCAACTGACCAAAATAAGCAAACAATATGAAAAAGTTACAATCTTTATAGTTGGCAATGTCAAAGCCATACTGGACAATACTTTATTATTGTATCCAAATAACAACTCTGCCCATAATTTCAGACCTCTCTGATGATCTTTTAAAGCTTTTATTAAATGGGACTGGCCCACTATAGAAAGTATTACTTGTAACTCTTTACCCTTAGGCTAATAAAAGAGTCACTTTCAAATTTGACAAAAGGAAACCTTCCTATTTTACATATTTCTAGGAATTTCAAAAATGACTCTGCAAACAGGCTAAAAATAACTACATATTCCCTTGGATTAGTCTCAAAAGCAAGTGTATTAAACTATTGACAGTTCTTGGCTTACCTTGTAATAACGACGGCGCTAGTACTATTTGCTTGTAGAATGAAAAATATAATCCAGACTCTGTTCTGAAGGATATTTCCCTCTCTATTTGCTAAATAAGGGGTAAACCAGGAATATTCATTGTTTAGTGTTCAAAGAGGTTGACAACAAAATATCTGATAAGTGCATTTATTACAGTTATAATGTGGATCAAGCTACTTTAACCCTTAAATAGCTAAGATTGACTAGCATCTAATTTCTCCATACAATGTCACCACTGAATAACTTATTAAGGTCACAAGAATAAAGGAAATGATCACCAATTAGAGAGCTCTTCATCATTGAACAAATTCTCCTTGTCAGCACCTTAGGAAATGTATAGAGAAAGGTATAGAGAATATGCATACTGATGTTAGAGCATAAAGGGTTAACCACAATATAGACATGTGCTCTTTTACTCTGTTCTACAAAGTCTCCATCTCCCTTTCTCTGCTACAAGTGACACATACTTCATTTTCCCTTTGGAAATCAATGCAATGTAAAGCCAATAGAAGATGTGGAAATAGTGAAAGATCAAATAGGAGACATTTTAAAAATGCAAAGAGAATTTGTTTTATAATCAAGAGCTTCTTTAGTTGGTGATCATTTCCTTTATTCTTGTGAACTTAATGTTTGACTCAGGGATGACATTGTAGGGAGAAATTAGATGCTAGTCACATGTAAGGGTCAAAGAGTTAAAAGCAGACTTTTAGCAAGCATCTATACCTAAAGGCTGAATAAAAAAAAGCTCTTTGCTTGAAAAATCCCATTTAACCCTTTCTCCCCTAACATCAGTATTCATATTCTCCATTCTATTCACTATACATTTCCCAAGGTGCTGACAAAGAGAATTTGTTTAATAATCATTAGCTGCTTTAGTTGGTGATCATTCCCTCTATTCTCATGACCTTAATGTTTGATTAAAGGGTGATATTGTAAGGAGAAATTAGATGCTAGACACTCTTAGGGGTTAAAGGGTTGAAGGATATATCAGAAAAATTAACAGTGCTTCATGGTAACAAATAGCGATTTATCTAATGGGTTGCATTGTCTGGTCTTCAAACATATGGTTTCAGAAGTCAGTGGGCTGCTAGCTCAAGTACATTTTTTACTTAAAGTCCTCACTCCTCATTTGTTGTTGCTCGGTTGCATGTATATTGTTTGGGTATGCAGCAAATTAAACAATATGTACAGAAGGAATTATGCTGATTTTTTTTTTTTTTTTTTTTTTTTTCAATATTCAAAAATGTTTCATTGGCACTGCTACTATATAGTATAATTAGCTCTTCTTATCTCAAAAATCTTTAGATTTCAATACTTCTATCACTCTAAGATTGTAAGATTCAAACATTAAAAAAATTATCTTTAGTTTACATTTTAATTTGAAAAAACTATGTTGCTCAGCTGTGTCGAGAAATTTAATGCTCAGGTCAAAGGAAGCAAAAAATAGTTAGTAATTAGGAAAATTTGAGCCAAATTGTAATAGAACCAATATCCAACTCCTTTTAAAAAATACCATTCATTACAATATTTCTCGCTGAAGTAGGCAGTAGTCGAAGGATTATTTAATTCTAATTTCCCAATTGACTTTTGAAAAAAATAGCGCTCAGTCAAATTCGGTCAACGTAGGATATTAGGAACCAGTCATATTTAAATTTTAATAATCGATATAAGGCAACCGACTATATTTCAAATTTAAAGCAAACATGAGAAAAAAAAACAGTAAAATAGATGAGTTAGCAATTATAGCTATATAACTACAATGGACACACATTCAGCACTAAAACTCCGCTCATTTATGTTTGATTTGACCACTTACGCCTATGTTGGAGAACCACATATCATTTTCGTGAAGTTCCCGCACATATAGAGCATATTTGAGTCCCACAATCACGGCAACAGTCGCTCCAAAGATGTAATTAACGCAAGTATACCAAACCCCTTGTTCCGGTTTCCTTTCAGATTTCAGCTGGCCTTTTGAACTGTCGTTCGCATGAGATGCCGAAGGCCGATTCTTGTCTTTTCTGGGACCAGCCTTCCTCCTTCGTAATTCTGACATATTGTACCTAAAATAGACATTAAAAGCGTCGAAAAACGCCGTGAAAAAGGTAGACCTAGGTCAGGGACCTACTGTGTCCTCATGAAGTATTTGCATACATTTATAAACAATATTAAGAATTGGCGCATGCGTGTCTTCCTTCTATTATTTCGCGCCACGTCGAGGAGCGATTAATTTTCATTCAAAAAAAAAAAAGTTCCCAACCTTTCCTATATATCTTTTTCCTTTGCGATGGAGAACTGTGAGTGTTTCGTCTAATCTGGGATTAGACTGCTTAGTTAAACACGAACTGTGGCGAACAATTGGATAGACATTACAAGGGTATACGACAAAACGCGCGCGGCTTGTAAAAATTAAACTAAGAAAATTACAATCCAAGATGGTTATTTTTACTTTTCAGAAGACTGAAAGAAACAGCTTATGTTCAAATACATACTGACGCTAAGCAGGAAGAATCATTTCCATCACAACTTCCGAAGAGTTTCTTCTAGGTCAGTTTAAATGAGAAATCAGTTAAACTGAAGACCTCGTGTTGAAAACAACCCCATGCAGCGAGAGACAAAATATATCGCGAAATTTGTAAAACAATAGAGTAATTTAAAATGCGTTCTCGAAGTTTTTCATCGTGCAATTTTCGTTAATTTCATAGTATATTTCAAAACCCAAATTAACCGTCTACCGTATTTTCGACTAGTACAGTCTTGAAATAAAAAGCGTTATCATTGAACAGGTCATTTTTAGTCGTACATATAGGCACAATGGTGCACAGTTAGAGTACCAGCTGTAATACTATATTGTCGGCTTTCTTTGCATTAAACAACAAGGTAAAATCAATATCTTATGACGAGTATTGAATTCATTGAGTTTAGCGAGATATTGAAATACTTTTTTCGTATTCCAGTTCTCTATAAAAAAAAAAAAAGCACTGAATATAAATTTATAGAATCAAAATCCATATCCAGAAACTGCACTCTTCTGTTGCGTCTTAATTCTTCAACAACAACAAGAAATTCTGGAAGGAAAAAACCAATGATAATCTAGCGTTAGGTTATTCGCTGATAAAAGAAACATACATGAAACTGACTTCAGCCTATGGTATTGACTCTATGCTAATAAAACAAAACTCGAACCAAAGGAAATATTAGCCGCGAAAAGGATTGAAACAAACCAAAGTTGCGATTGAGGCGTTTTTTCTTATGAGAGAAGCAGCAGTGGTTGGCGGGGAGCTCTTGTTTTCTAGAACAATGAAACGATTTCAAACGTCGGCATCTTGCGTCAACTAGAAAACAACTAGTTTTTATAAAGGGGGTTAGTTTCTAAAGAAACTGTGGTACTGCGTCGGTGGGAGAGTATAGCAGGTAATTTAGTGTTGACAGCTGAGTTGAAAACGTAAATTGGCTACCGTAAAGAGTAAAAAAGCTAAACGTAAGTTTTTAACTCAGTTGTCAACACTAAATTACGTTTTCAACTCAGTTGTCAACACTAAATTACCAACTAGTTTTTATAGGCTGACACCTTTACATGCGAAAGTATATATGTGAAACTTACTCAGAGAAGAAATGAAGATAGCGCGCTCGTTTGACTAATTCGCCTAAAAAGGTTTTCAGAAACTTATGAAAAACGCTTACGACGCCCTTAAAGCTGAAAATCAGTCTAGGTTTGTAGGAACAAGTACTAATTGCATAATGATCAGAAAGCACATTAAAGTAAGCATTGTGTGGCACGTGTGATTTTGTTGTGGTCTCGCGAGTCGCGATAAGCTCCAAATCGCACAGATCGCGCGCGCGGTTCAATTGCTGCGTGTGAACTTCAGCCTAACCGTGCAACTTCATTTCGAGAAAAAGCAAATTAGTTTCATATTTATTCCTCTGTGTGGTATTTCATGGTACTACACCGCGTGACATTGCTCTCCGCCATGTTATTGTGTGAGTTCTCTGCTTGTCTGGCAGAGATCATCGACCTTCAAGACTGCCATTCAATATCTCCGCACGGCGTCTGGCCCACATGTACAGGTGCTATAACTGAAAATATTTCTACCGGAACAGAATGTCAACTGCTTGTGACTGAAAGACACTTTTTAAACAGGATGTGTTTATTTATACAAGTGTTCTTAGACTCCTTTGTTGAAAGGACAAACTTAACACCAGAATGCAGACAAGCTGTAAAGTAATCTTGCTAAAGAGCTCGAGGCACTTCATAAAGACCTGATTGCAGTTAGCATTCTTGTATTTCGTCTGGCCAAATGAAAAATTAAACAATTCAACTGATAAAGACGTGGACGATTTTCACCAAAATAAGAAGAGACTGTTCGTGAAATACCTTTTACCTTTCAAGGGAAGAAAAACAAAAACTAGAAAGTTTAGTGAATTCGCTTTACAGGTGCGAATAAAAATCGTTTTTTTCCACCCGACCTAATTAAGGAAAGAACTGACATAGTATACTAAAGAAATGCATTTCATTTACAGTAAAATAAGGACTATCTTAAACACCATTTTATGCCGATTGCTATCCCAAGGAAAACATATCTGAAAGTCAAATGGCGGTGTGCTGTCAATATTACAATCTACATTACTCACGGTATGAAAAAGTTCACGTATATGATAACTAGTTAAATCGGTAATATATATTTAAGCAAATAGCACAATACAAAAGCTTGTACCTGTAAAACTGAAATCAAATAATAACATATCCATGTCTTTCGTTGCTTCATAATCCTTACCTAAAGACTATGCTTGTTTCTGATGCGAGTATTCCGAGGAAACTCAAGTTATCGTAATTAAGACTTGCACACAAAGGTCAAATGAATATATTGTGACACGATGCGTGGAAAATTAATCAACAAAAGAACAAGTTCTCGTACATTGGCATGGAACTTATTGGCCCATATAGACAATGTACGGTATTTAGCACCAGTTTGTAAACAGTACAAGAACCTTACAAAAAAGAAGGATCAGGGTAAGCATTAGTTATTCCGGAATGTTTTCGAGCAGTTTATGCGAAAAAAATCCATTTTTCGTAAAAGGCTCGGCAAAGCCGAAGAAAGAGGAGACCGCGAAAAATTTAATTGCGAAAGTTGGATGACGAATTAAGAGTTAACTAGGATGTGTTTATATTTTTATCCCATTTATTTGTTACAGGGTGGAGGGTTATTTCCATCTATCTGTACTTTCTCAGGGATCCTTAGTTACTGCTTTAGGAACGTAGGATTAAAACCAGAAGGATCGCAGCAGTCAATCAGAACAACGAGGAAAATCAGGTGCCAAAGACAATCGAGTGGGTACTATCAACACAACAGACAAATTGGCCAATGTCAGGGAAACTGTTTTGTTCTAGAATGGCAAAGCTAAATTGTTTTCTGTAAATGGTACTATACTAGCTTACATTGTGCCTCGTAAACTTTTTTCCTAGTCTGGCCATTTTCTGAACCCATTTATAACATTACAGAGAAGATGAGACAGAAAAGGATAAATAATTGCGTCAAGGTTTCTTTATTTTAGCATAGCTTTGTAAAGATGAAAGGTAACACCTTGCTTAATGGATATTTTGGCTTGTACATCCACATGGTGTTCATTTAGCAATGGAGACCAGAGAATTATCCCACTACTATGTAGAATCCTCTGCTTAAATTTCGATGGCCAGTCTGTAGTTGAGCCCAATGGCCCATCCAGCCAGTGCTTATCCCCATTTCCATGGCATGTAACAACAAGGAGTATCACAACTCCCACCTAGTATGGGATGCCAGTCAAACACAAGATTATCCCCAATATTTTCATCAGGCTCTCCTGACAATTCATCAGTACTCATTTATACTCCTGGGTGAAGAGAGGCACTGTGAAACTGAAGTGTTTTCACAGCACAACACAACACAAAGACCCAGCTTTAACCCTTCACATCCTAACATCAGTATGCATATTCTCCATACTGTTCTCCATAGATTCCCACGGTGCTTAAACAAGGAGAATTTGTTGAACAATCAAGAGCTTCTTTAGTTGGTGATTACTTCCTTTATTCTCATGACCTTAATGTGTGATTCTGGGCTGATATTGTTAGAAGAAATTAGATGCTAGTCACCTTTATGGGTTTAAGAATAAAGGTCTCGAAATGAGACCTCTTGACCCAGAGTCCACTGCACTGACTGTGAGGCCACCGCCATGCTCTGAATTGTTACTTATTCAGGCCTTGGTAGAGAATATACCCGCAATGCATCACATCATCCTGTTACTACATTTCATAATTAAAACCGTGTAGTACAAAATTTTACAGTCATGAAGGAGGTAGAGGTGGATATAGACCTAGAAGTCTACTAAGTACCTGAGACTGTGTAAAAATGGATTCAAATTGTGCAACGTAAGAGAGGTATAAGTTGTAAATTGTTATTCAATAAAGCAGAAGAGTTCTTTCTCAGGTGGATGGATTCTGTCAGAAATCACGGACATCTCTGTGGGCTTTTGGCACTCTCAAAGTTATTCCTTCAAAGGCCTTGGTAACAATGATCTGACAGCCAAGACGAGACCTAAAAAAAGTAGAAAGCAAAATTATACTCCTTGAATGAACAATATAAACAAAAGGCAACACAAAGTATTGCAAACAAATGAGTATAGAAATTTTGCTGAGGGAAATGAATGAAATGTCATTAGAGTCAGCTGTACCCAGATCACTCATTCAAGCCACAAAAGCCTCAACATTTCCTACTAACAGTAGTTGCAAATTGTCTACATGTGTCTAATTACCTCCTCTACTGGAGAACTGTTAATTTTTTAGCTATATTGACTCATGATACCTCAAACTCTTTCCAACTCAAACCTTCAACTGGCTTGAACCAAATCCATTCCCATGGATTTCTGTTAAACATCCACCACAAATTTTACCCTGGATAATGCCAACCTTCTACAATACACACTTTGTGCTAACTCTCAGCAGTTTTCAGTTCCCTTTAGCACATTTTCTGAAAAACTTTACCCATAAAAGAAGGTCAAAAACCCAGAAGTGTCCCATTGTCCAAACCACACAACTATTTTGAAGCTGCTGTGTATTAATTCTTTGTAACAAAATCAAGTTCTTCTAGTTTAATCCACATTTAATTACAGTAGCTGCTGTACATTTACTGTAATCTTTTGGATTTTTTACTTCTTACTTCATCTCTCAAATTGTTCTGACCTTCACCTCCCTTAAAAATATGTTAATTTGGTGTTATCAACTGAGTTGATAACATAAATTAGCCACTATTAAAGAGTTTCACAACTAACATTTCAAGTGTAACCCCTTTGTCATTTGCTCTGATAAAGAGTTAATGCTTGAAATGTCACCTCAGGAACTCTTAACGGTGGCCAATTCAGGTTCTCAACTTAGTTGATGATACCATATTACCTTGTTACACTACCCCACTGATGCAGCATTGTAATTTCTTTAGTAACTTACTCATTTATTCATAAGTCAAAACATGGCTGGGAAACAGTGAACTTACGTGTCTTCCAGTCCATATGCTAAGTCCAGCATGTCAAGTTCCTCATCTGATGGGTCATCCAAGTTCAATGTCTTCATTTCTTCAGGTTCAAATATCAAATGACAAGTAGAACATGACAGGGTCCCTTCACAAGCACCTGTAATGAAATCACTGCATAGTCATCAAGTGTTCTCCAGAATGATATATTTTTAGTGGCCAGCCATTCAAAAAAATCAAATTTAAAATAATATAAAAAAATTTATTTCAGATCAAGAGTGGTAGTTTACTGCTTTGTCTAGTTTAAGCAGCTGACACCTTATAGAGAAATGGCCCAATAAAATGCCCTCCACCAGGACTTCTGACCAATGTTAGGTTGATCAATAAACACTCAGTAATCAGCAAGATCTATACCCTTTAAACCCCTAATAAAGATTAGCATCTAATTTCCTCCTTACACTGAATATCACCCCTGAATCAAGCCACACATTAAGGTCACAGGAATAGAGGAAAAATCAATGATCAACAACTACAAAAGCTCTTGATTGTTAAACAAACTTTCTTTGTCCACACCATAGGAAATGTAATTAATACAGTATGGAGAATATTCAAACTGGACTCAGTTTTTGAAGGATCAAAATAATGCTATCCACTGGATATACATCTATGTCCAGTGTATAGCACAACACTTTTGTTAACTCCTATCCACTGGATAGCAGTTTATCTGTTGGATACTGTTGTCTGCCATTTGAACAGCAAGACCCTGATGGCAAGGTGTAAAGGGTTTAGTGACAAGTGGAAAAGTGATGAATCCTTTTCAACCCAAGAAGTGATAATTTAACAGGAAAGGGACAGTGCTTGTCAGAAAGTATAGTTTAAAGGAAACCAATTCAGCCTCATTTGAACCTCATGGCACATGTACTTGTATTAAATACAATTAAAAGGAATGGAAGAGAAGGCTTTCAAATTAAAAGAACATACAGAGAAGGCATTTCTTTAAAGTTTATCAAATGACAGAATTCTGCATACTTACCTTCTAAATCAAGATCATTGTCTTTTGCCACATCCAATAAACTATCTCCTATTTTCGCACTAACAGTCATTTTGTCTCCATCTCTATCAATAAAACTTACTGTCACCCTGAAAAAGAGGTAAAAATGGTCAGAATTACCAAAGTTCAAGAAACAGAGTGTACTGTTAAATCCATATTTTGAAGCTTTGGTGTCTCAAAACCTCTGATACTTTTAACTAAAACTAGCTCCCTAAACCCTCTCCACCCTAACATCAGTATACATTTTCTCCTTTACTGTTTCCTCTACATTTCCTAAGGTGCTGACAAGGAGACTGTTTAATAAGAGCTGCTTTAGTTGGTGATCATTTCCCCTATTTCTATGAGAATGTTTAATTCAAGGGTGATATTATAAGGAGAAATGAGATGCTAGTCACTCTAAGGGGTTAAAGGGCTTAAGTAATTTTATCTTATTTTTTTAACCTTTCAGGGACTCAAAACCTTTTTCCTTTTTCTCAAGGAGTTCTTAAAAAAGATTGAATGGCCAAAATTTCCATATTAACTACTTTTTTGTTTGTTTTACATACAGCATACCAACAGGACATAATGCACTGCATGATGAAACTGAGAACTTCTGGTTGATGCAAGAAACCAATAAGTACAAGTAAATCATGATGAACACAACTCTTAAGGTGAATCCTCAAGAAGTGAGGCTGATACAACACAAAAGGATCCATGTTACCCATTACAATTAGCAGCTGTTTTCTTTTTCAACCCAGAGGGCTTAGGTAAGTATATTTGGGCTTAGGTAAGTATATTATATTATCATACTACTTTCATCATATTGTTATATTTAATAATTGTAATCAAATCGTTATTTAACTTATTTCACACATATTAAACAAAGGACTGTGAAGATACATTGTTCATCCAGTCAAAGACACAAACAATAGTACTTAAAAGTGGAGGGCAACAAATGGCTTCCAATCTATGAAATATGTCGGTCAGTAAGAAAAACCTCAGTATGTGCGGGATAAAAACATCATACCCTGGAAAAAGCTTGAACAATTTTTATTTACTCGTCATGATGCATCAAAACAATCACTCTTTGCATGGAATAATCTCTCTTCACAAACTGAGACTAATGTAAATTCAGACAAGGTTTTTCCTTGTGGATAAGTAGTTTTTACTACAAAAGTTTATTTTGCTTTAATTTGCTTCATTTCAGACTTGAGCATACCAGCACCACAGGCAAGAAGATTTTTGTGTCCTAAGTGCACAGCAACTAGACACTTTGCAGGAGTGGTAAGAGATTGTTTAAGTACTTAAGGACAACAAATAACATAATGACACAATGCCGTAATGGTTTCTGTGAAGTTTATAGTACATGACAGGGTACAGGAAGTAAGCATTCATTGCACAACACAAATATGACAAGAATGCATGACCAGTGATGTAGCAACAACATGTGTTTGTCCCAATATCTGTTGTGTTGAATCAGAAATCCTTATTTAGTAAGTGAAACTCCTTGAGCAAACAGAGGGATATTCCAGACCAATTGAATTCGAAGAAGACAACCTGACAAGAATTAAGGTTATTGTCATAGAGAACCATGCAAAAAGTTAACACTGGTGAAACAAGAAGACAACTAGGTGTCACTGATTCTGAGAACACCTTCATGACATAGAAAGAAATAAAGGACATATCGAAACTAGTTGCTAGACACTGCAATCACCCATTCCAAACAGCATAATTGGCAGTTTGCAACCTTTCCCTGCTTCAAGGCAGTTCAGAAAGACACAAAAATCTAGAACAAAAATTTACCTTTCAAATCGGCACTCTTAATCCCCATGGTATTAACAAATGCTTTTCAATCAACTAATTTTCCCTGGTTTTTTGGTACCATGTTCTCACCATTGGAACATAGCTCCATTTTCCACATATAAACACACACACAACCCACAATTCCTCCATTTCCTCTGATTAAAGGCTAATGCTCAAAACCTCAGCTTTAAAACTCTTTATGGTGGCCAATTTACCTTGTCAATATCGATGATAATACCAAATTACCATGCATCTTGTAGACTGCCATGTCTTAGAGAGGGACTGAGGAAGCACAGCAAGGTTATTTATTAGCAAACCAGTGTTCACAAAGTTACTGATTCAAAAAGGGCTTTTGATCATACCTGTTCCCATTTCACCTTCATAATCAACTTTAAGACTTTTTTCATTGTTACTTTTCTTTTAATCCACACACGATCAGTACTACATGGCCAGTGTTTTAATAGACTTCAAGATTTTACTTACTTTCTGCAGGACGATCCACCCCTCAGGAACTAACACATGGCATAATTTGTATATTCCTTTTGATTTAATTTTAAAATTCCTTGTGTTCATTTACTCTCCATTTCATTTTGTATGCCGAATATGGTAATGCCCCAATATGATCATAATTCCTCACAAATTGTACCCAAATTGAATCTATCTTTGTTTTGCATGAGAATTAAATATTTTATAGAAACCCTTGTGCTGAAATATGTTTGTTTTTTTTGCACCAAAATTTCCAAAAAACTGGTTTAATACCAAAATTGTATTTGCTGTTGCTTAAATATTAAAAAAAATCCTGTTTGGTAGTCATAATTGGTTTCAGTTTTGCTTCTTATTGGTTGACAAACTCTATCATGGATCAATTTGCTTCAAAAACTCAAAACTCATAGCATAATTATTAGATAGACTATCAAACAATTTCCTTAAAAACGACTGCATTTAGGTACAACTATGCACCCAGTTACATCTATCCAGCATATTTTCTGAATAAATTTGAAGTGCAGTACACCAGTGTAAGCATGTTATTATCTAATAACATGTTCATTTCCATTTTGCACTAGATACAAGTACGAAGTGCGGACCTATTTTTAATATGTCAAATGTCTATTTCTTGTGGCTGTACAGATAAATAAGTTTGTCATCGAGGAACCTTGACTTCGAATATTACGAACATATTTTACGATAGACAAGTGAGTAAACTAATTAGATTTTGATTGCAACTATGATAAAAACCTTATTTAATGTTGTAAACAACTGCGGAGAGACCGTTCTCTGAGAAATGATGGTGAAAACTGGCTTAGATTTGCATTTGTTTGGTTCCCTTAAGGGACGAACAATGGACATAATATGAAAATAAAGAATCTACAGGTATGAACTTTGACTTACACATCCTTTTTCTCCTTCGCCTTTGACGTGGATGTACTGGCCATTCGTATACAGACATTTCTTGTTACAAATAAAGATGTATTTCTTGGACATAAACTGAAATAATGTTTCAAAGGTGAAAGAGTTGTTGGAGAACAAAACTTGCGTAATACGCGAGCAGCCATTTTAATCAGAGAGACCGAGAATTATATACGTAGACTGGGAACGACATTTTGGAATCAATCAGCGTTGCGTTGTTCGTCATGTGTATAATTAGAAAGCTGCTTAATATTTGTGTCATCGAAGTCATTTGTTTCCTGTTTACTTACTAACTTCATTTATTCTCTCCGGTAAAACCATGTCTCTTTCAGGCTGTTTAATTTTTCGTGATATGCGTCCTATGGGAAATGCTTTTAAACCACTTTATTCGAAAATGAAGAATATTATGCAACACTGTGGTCTCATAGAGTTTTTAAAAACTGCAACCTTTATGGTATTTTATCATAGATTGCCACACACAGTCCGTAAAATAATAAGTATTTTTTTTAAGTGCTTTTTTTTAGTTTTGCATGCAGAGATGAGCAGCGGCGAGCAGGTAGCAAGAGTGGGTTGTGCGTATTTCAAGTGATCTGGTCAAGTTTTTTTTTTTTTCCTTTTCGATTTGTTGTTTTGTTTTATTTTTTTGTTGTTGCTGTTGTTTTTTTTCTTTTTTGCTTTAGGTTGTTTGTTTCGAACCTTAGCTCCTCGTCAGAGCTAAATACACACCAAACTCTCGGTCAGCTTTGACTTGCAAAGGCGACTCGTGCGTCGGGGAAGAGAAAGGTGAATTCCTATTTTTAGGTTGAGTATGTCATAGCAACCGCCTTCTCTGAGCTGAAATAGAAAAGCTTTGTAACATTTGGAATATAAAGAAATGAACTGCAGGAGTGATTGGTCGTAAATTTGAAATGTGTAGTTCATGGTATATGGTCCCTTTATAATTAAATATGCTTGAAAATGGTAAAGGTCTATTCTTTCCTGTAAAATGCGGGAAAAAATATTTTATTCGGTGATACGTGATCGAGAACTTCAGCTTTCATGCCTGTTTGTCTGTGCTACTTCCAGAACAGCTGCGTGGCTACTAAGCAGGTGGCGCGCCCTTACTTCCTCACATCCGGGAATGTTGTATAGTCAGCACAATATTACTAACACACGGTGAACGGCGTTTCGAATCATGAAGTCGGGAGTTGTCATCTTTCTACTTCTCTCCGTAGTATACGGTTCAGAAGTGAGCCTCAAGGAGACAACTAAGGATCAAAGTACCCAAATTAATGTAACAGAGACGGATAGAGCTAACAGTGAGACTGTTAGCATCAATTTTGAGCAAACTAAGGTTGACCGTGATCAGAATGGCGGCGTTAAAGATGCTAGAATTCTAAGAGTGAGTTTGCTTCCCTTTTATTGGTATTTTACATCAGTTTTACGGCTTATTAGAGAAATGGTATGAGCAGGAAAAGAGAGATATCGAAGAACTTTTAGGATCCTAATTCGACTGTTGCTTAAACTTCGGTCAAAATTCGATATGGCCGCTTAATTAAGAACGTGACGCTAGCATGCAGAAATATAGATGTTTTTTATGGACTTTGACCTGGTTTAAACCATTTATATATTTGCTACCGGACAAAAGTATTTTGTTCGAGTACGTTGAAGTTCTCTATGACTCATTTGTTGTTTAAGCAAGTGCATGGACTTGATTAGACTACCTCAGATGGTATTAAATGCAGCGACAGCACCTCAAATAATTCTAAAAACCCTAAGGGGTAATGTCTCCATTTAGTAGATTATGTACATTTTTTGGTAGCAACAGGAAAGGAAAAAAAGGAAGCAGATTTATCTTTTTAAACCTTTTGTAAAAAGTTGGTTATCAGCGTTAGACCCCTTCTTATCAGTTACATTTAAATGTAGGTCGGTTCGAAATAAGAAAAATATCCATCCTTTGACACAAAAATTATCTTGACGAAAAAGAAAAATATAACAGTAAAACATTGGCTATGACTGATACCTATTTTGAAAACAGCTAGCAAATGTTTTTCAGAAATGTTTCTCCTTGTAATCAAACCTACCGATCTATGTTGTGTTTATTTCAGTACTGAGTACTGCAGGTGTCAGAGTTATATGATAACAACAGTTTACTATAAATGGAAATGTCAGACAGTTTTCATACATAACAAGAAACTCAAGGATTTGGCAGGGTCTTGTAGATTGTCATTCATCTGCATACCAAACAAAATGCAAAGTCATGGAACAGAGAGTTCGGGAACAGTGTTTGACTTACCAATGAAACAGTTATTTACAAACAGGTTGCTAGATGGAAGCATTAGAGCGATTAGTGAGGGAGATCTGACTACAGTGTGATATTTTTGTAACAATACAGTGTATGAAATTTATATTCATATAGAGTTAATCTTCTTTTGAGCTTCTATACATTACCTGTTGAATTTGTAAAACTTGTTTGTTGTCAATGATCATTAAAATGTACAAGTATCAAGTGTGGGTATTTTCTTCACCTGTTTGCACAACACTTTGCAGATGTTGTGATGGGAAGTTAATTGCATAATATTTTTTTCTCTTTCAGGTAAACATCCGAGTCAGTGTTGTGGATGGTGTAGTTCACGTGAACAATGCCAAAGCCATTCATAAGGCAGTCACAACTTTCCACTTCTATGCAGAAATTGGTAAGGCAATATAAATTTGTGCTAGCTTTGTGCTCATGTGGCTTGCATTTTTATGACAACTCCTCTAGTGATATTGAGCCCTTAAAAGGTAATTCAAATGTTAACAGTTTTACTTGTCACAAAATAGGCTGAAATGCCTTAGCAGAAACTGCAACTGCTGATGCTATTTTTTTAACTGTACAAGCTCCCTTTTCATTTCTTCATGTCGCTCATAAGAATATTCATACATGTAGTTAAAAAATTGAACACTTTTACGCTGTACATTTATGTTTGTTGAAGTTAGTGATAGATATTTTAAGTTGTAGTAAAAGCAAGTCTTCATGGTGCTGTGCCATCCTTGCCCCTATCAAGAGCAGGTACATGGTGATTTATACAAGGATAAAAGTACAGTGTTTGCTGTATATTGTGTTTAACTGTCATCTATTATTGCAGATGAAATTGGCAAGAACCGTGAGGTACTTCAGCACATGCCAAGGGTCCTTATTGTGATCAGGGTGTTGGTTAATGAATCAGAACAGATAAATGAGCAGGGAGTTTTCAAAATGCTGCGTGTGCAGGAGGAAATTGTTGAGGTAGACAAGCAAGCGTTGACACAAATCAAAGTGACACAGCTTGTGTTGAAACTAGATTCTGCCAACAATGAATTGATTGGCAAGCGCGTGGTCACAACAATTGAGCTGAAAGATTCTGATTTACACAAGATACCCCGCGATAAAGACAATCATAGATACCCTGATGGTAAGTACTGCTAGTGGCTTTTGCTGTACAGTGTTTCTTATTCGCTATTTTGGATGATGGTTTCCATTGTGATTCACATGTTTAATGTTAGCCTTAATGACAGAGTCTGTTGACACAGTGGCTCCTTTGTTACTGCAACCTGGTTAGAATCAGACAAAGCTTTCTGTTTTCTCTTCAAATGCCATCATATAGAACATGTGGCTACTTACAGATCACTGCACTTGATCAGGAGAACATTCAGAAGGCTTTTGAATTACTCACCTCCAGCTTGAGATTTACAAACTTTTCTCCCAACATCCTGCACATGTTATTTTTGGATAAACCATAGAAAGTGTCATCTTGTATAATTCAAATAGACCAGGAGGAGCAACAATGCTCTTAGTTGGCTTGTGCTAACCAAATCATAATGAGCTCTGGTAGACTTACATTGAAATCTTTTATATGTACAGTATATCTACATACAACTGTACTGTTTTTAATAATTTGTTTAGTTACTGCTTAAATCAATTGACAGTTCTGACTAATTTAATTTGCTTTTAGGCCACTTGCCTGACCACCCATACAGTGACAAGTCAAACCCAAAACCCAAGCCAGCTCAGCTTCCAAACCATCCTTTGCAAGCTGACTCGGTAAAACATAAAACTTAAGATTTGTATGCATGCAAAGTAGACAGTTGGTCAGACAGGGTAGTGCATGTGCATATGCATGTACATAAGGGCTAGGATCCAGTCAACTTTGCTGGTGACTTTGTAGAATACATGCACCATAAAATATGATCCTCAACACAGTTGCCATTTTTTAAACCTCTTCCTACTTCAAAATTTATTGTAAACTCTGTCTTCAGTCTGTAGCTCAAGTTGATACAACATGAAATTGAGATTTACTTTCAAATATCATACACAACATATTTGACGTTTGGAAACATTTTCCTACTTCAAAATTTTCAGTAAATCCCGTTAAGATAAAACATGAAAGAAACAAAAACTGATAGTGTTGCTGTTGTCTTGATTTACATTTATCAATCCATATGAGTTTATATTTGTATTTTGTAAGTGGTGTCAGTGTGGTTTTGTGAAAAGTTTTCTTTACATTTCTCTGGAGGTTAATTTTATCTGCAAGAAACTACTCTCAGACAGGAAGGAAACTGTTTTATTGCCATTGTTATTTTACAGTTTTGTTAGCCTTGAAAATCTGTGAGTGAGGGTTTCAAAAAGTTATTAGCATAAAATATTTCAGAGTAGGATTACTACGTCAAAACAAAATATTCTTCACACATATTTTCACAACATTGAGTGCCATTAGCTGTATTGCGCTCTCTGCAGAGTACAGTGCTCATTGTGCTGTTTCTTTGTAGTTGGAATTTGAAGAGTGTGTTACTAGCTTCCAGGCTTAAGCTGTGGAACATTCAGTAGTTTCTTAAACACTGTTTTGCTGTATGTCTATCTTAGTCAAAGCATGGACTCTGCGCAAAGTTCCACAAGCTGCCATTTGCTGCCCGCTTGGCTGTCTTTGCAGTGGTGGCTATTATTGGCATTGGTACCTTCACCTGCTGTTTGTGGGTGTTCTGCTGCAAACCACCAGCCTCAGGCAAGAAAATCAACCTCAAAGACTATGAGGACAAGTTTTCATATGATGGGGAGTTTGAAGCTCCAGCTTTGGAACATAAGGTTCCCATTGAGAAGCAGAAGCTGGTCATTGATGCATGAAAACGCCCATTTTAAAATATGCACTTGTAATTGTTAAAACTTGTACTAGTTATCTTTTATCTTCTTTGTAATGGTGAGTTGCTCTATTTGTCTGACAAAGTTGGGTTGTTACATATCAAGCATGATGAATTGTAGTGAAATTGTATGTGTACTGGTATTTAGTATGAGGTAACAAAGGGGGGAAAGGTCAAAAAGGCTGAGTGTGATCAGGACCACAGTGAGCTCTGATAGGTGAAGGTTTTCCTTTGAGTTTGTTCGGCCTAGAACTTCAAGTAGCTTTCTTTGCTTTCCAACTTAAAATCTTAAAGCTGTGTTTTCCATTGTGAACTCAAGGCTGATATTTCTGAATACAATTATTATGTTATTGATAAGTACTTAAAGTACAGTCATCTTAGTTTTACCATTGAAAGTTATGGTCAAAATATCTCAAGGCTGATCCATTGTCAGACAATCAGTTTCACAATTATTATGTTATTGATAAGTACGTGATAAGTACAGCAACAATCATCTTAGTAAAATATTACCCTCTAGAAAGTTATGGTCAAAATATCTCTTTGTGTACCATCCACTCTGTCAGACAATCAGGAATTGCACCAGTATTTGTGACTTTCGTTATTTTAGGGTTGCATTTTAAGGTTAGTATAAAGGAGAGGATAAGACTATAACTTGATCCACCAATTCTACAAGCCAATTTAAACAAATTGTGTGGTAAAATACAGCTATCAAAAAATCATGATCCTGAACCTACAAGCAGTCTCTGGCACCCCTATTTCCATTCCAGAAAAATTCATGGAGAGCAAAATTTTGCAACCTTTGTGACCATGATGACAAAGTTTTGGTCACTGTCACTGAATTTGTTAAAGTTCACAGAGAGACCACTGTTGCTTGAAAGTGGTGGCAGGTACTAGATTCTGTACCCTGTTCTCATTGTACTGACCTTATTTTGCATGTTGGTTTAGCTAAAGTAGGATGCCTTTTTTGTATTTTGATAGATTGCAAAGCAATGTTTTATGAAGTGTTGTCTTTTAGTGTCCCATATCTAGTCTTCATTTTTAATGAAACAGACTATTTGAGATATTTAGATATTTGAATTGTTTTGTTTGAATAATGACCAGTTTACTTGCTATTGCATTTTACATGTACATCTGTAAGTGGTAAAAACAGTTAAGCAATAAATAACTTTTGTTTGTATATATAGATGTAAGCATTGTTCTGAAATAAATGTGCATGACATGCTGTGGAAAGTGGGTTTGAGTCTGTCTCCATTAAAAAGTTTTACAGCCACAATTCGAGGTTTTGTTGTCTAATTCTGGTTACAAGCCCATACGGAATCACTTGCATTTTGTTCTCTTATTCTCTAGCTCACATTTTTATATATCACTCTCCTGTCAAGTTCAATATGAGCTTAAGTCGCGCAGCATTTGTGCATGATTTCTGCATATGCAGTCTTCTTGGGAAAATTTCTAACTTTTGCAACATTTGGGCACCATAATTACAGTCAAGCTAGCCAATTAACCAATCGCGTTTCAAGAATTTTATGACTGACTACTCAGATAAACAGTTTCTTGGAGTTACAAGCTGGACCCTATCTTCATAAAGCGAACACCAACTTAAATCCCGATTTCTCTACGAAATTGTACTCAGAGGAAGCCTCTTTTTTCATCCTGTTTGTTCTTTACTCAGTTATCTTTCTTCGACATCCATTCACGTTTCTTTGTTTTCCTCTCTTCGCCATCCTTTCTTCGCCACCAGTTCCTCTCCCATTTTCTGAAACAGCGTTGCAAGAGGTCAGCGGATTAATTTGTTGCGATAGCAACTGTGACAAGTACCTGCAAACTTCTCATGTATCAAATACAAAAGCATTTTGGGTACCAAAAAGAAATTTTTATGGTTAAACGTCAAAAGGTTAAAGTCAGGAGGTGACAGAGGTTGGTATTCATCACTGTCCATTATCGATATTGCAAAATTACACCAGAAATTCAAAATTATGCCAATCGCTGTTGCGGCAAAATGCGGAAGTGGGCCGAAGTGGGTCGAAGTGCGTTTTTAATTACGTATAGTGAGGTCTGTTAGCACTATTCCATCAGGAATACAGTACTGTACAGCTACAAACTAACAAATTATTCATTTTTTCCTGAGAGAAGATTTCTTTCCTTTAACTTAACTGCAAGTTCGGGTATTGTTCGGATATATTCAACTGCAACTGGTTATTGGCGCGTTGTGAATTTCTTCGAGGAAATAATCAGAAACTGTTTGGTTTAACGAAGGGAACGAACATACGAACCCTTTAAACTTAAGTTGGCTTTCTTCGTGCTTTCTCGCCGGAAACAGAGAAAGGTAAACAAGAAAACGATCGTCATTTATTAACAAGCGACAACTCTTCACCAGGTTCTCTCCTATTCTTAAGAAAGAGGTGGAGTCCTTGGGAAAGAGGTTTTAGTGTGTAATGCACAGATTCATTTGGTGTCTATTTAGTTTCAAATCCAACCTAATGGATATTTTCATCTGGAGGCTGACCGTTATTCCCTAAGCTTAGTGACAATTTATCTTTATACAAGAAATATTTGAGAAAAATAATCTTAAATAAAATCTCTCTTTTCTTCTTGGAGACCCTAAGTCACCTGCCATATATCACTTCTTGCAAGTATGTCAATAATTTTGCATCTAAAGTTGAATTTTCTTTTTTCGTGAAATTTTCGATTGATGGGGGGATGCTTCCTCAATTATGTAAACTATATTTCCTACTGATCAGAACGAATTCATTATATTTCCATAAAGGACGCGCCTTACCTCACACGAGTGCACTGTTGAGATATAATGCACGCAGCTAACGTCATCGGAACGAGCGCGCGAACTTTTAAGAACACTCGGTTCGTGCTTCTCCGCACTTCTCTCGTGTTCTTAAAAATTCCCGCGTGCTTATGTAACTCAACAATGCACTTGGCGCGTTTTTTATTTCATTAACAAATTATTAGATAAAGCATATTTTTATTCTGTTATTTTATTTAACATAATGAACTGTTTTGTGAGGGCAAAGGACTCTTATAGATTATCCATAGGGAATTTTTTTCTCATTTTTCATCTAGATGGCCCATTAAGCTGTAATAAATAGATAAATAAATGAATCAATTAGTTATGAGGCACAAAAACAAATGGAATGGATAAAAATTTCACACCCATGTTAAATGAGGTCGGGCCAAGTAAAATGGTTTGCTAAGGGAGAGTTTGAAAAACTATAATAATTCTTCCAGAGGAAAACCTCAAGAAAATAGAAAAGTGGGGGGGGGGGGTGGGGGGGGTGCAGAAACAATGAAAAGTGAAAAGAGATAATCTGCAAGTATTATTTTTTTGTTGTTGTTGTTGTTTTTTTTTTTTACTCATTTCAGCACACAAGCTATTAGTATACCTCATACTAAATTACCTTCGGACAGTTCAGGCCAACACCTAATGTTCACGTTTGGATATGCATATCAGATTGAATGACAAAAATAGGAAAGTGGGGGGGAGGGGTGCAACAACAGTGAAAAGAGATAGTCTGCTTTGAGTTGTTTTGTTTTTTTTACACATTTCTGCATACAAGCTACTGGCATACCTCACACCAAATTACTCAGTTACTTTTAGACAGTTCAGGCCAACACCTAATGTTCATGCCAATAAGAATTTTTTCATTTCCAAGGGGGAAAGAAATATTTAAAACAATAGTTAGAGTCACCTGTCGTTTATTGCTTTTTAGAACCGTGATGTTTTTTTGTGATTGTTTTTTTTTTCAATCGTCTACACTTAGTAAGGCAGACACAAAAACAATTTCTGACCGGACTGCATTTTCAGCTTTTAAGATCTCTCGCTAAAAACTGAAATCCGAGTGATGTTTTGCCATGGTTTTTATGATAACAACTTATGTACTCTCTTTGTTCTCTACATCCAGTTCTCACGCGATTCATTTTAGGTATTCAGACGATATACTGCTGAGTGCTATGAACGTTATAAGAATAGCTAGTAATACTCTCTTACTTATGTTGAAATCGTGAGGCGGTGAAAGGCTAATTTACTAATTCTTTGACTTTTTCCACAGATTTGGAGACATCCAAAATGAAGAAATTCCTCATAGCTTACACGGTTGCAGACTTTCTGTTCAACAGTCATCTATATCACAAAGCTATTGCTATGTACAGGGAGACCCAAGTATTGTTGAGAGGAAGTAAAGTCAAACTAGAAATTGAATTACATTACAAACTAGCACGTTCATACGTAGGTATTAATGAGTTAAAGGAATCATTAGAAAGCTATCGGCAACTTTTAAAATTCAACGAAGAAGTTAGAGATAAAGACTGGGATGTAATAGCATTCAGAGACATCAGTGACGTGCACCGCTCACTGGGTCAACACGTTCAGTCGATTTTCTTTTTAAGAAAATTACTTCAAATTGTTCAAAAAGCAGAGGATAAACAAGTAGCAGGAGAGGTTTATCTAAAAATGGGTGACTCTTATCACAATTTGGGTAAGCTGGATAAATCAATCGAGTGTCATAATTACGCCCTGAAAATCTGCAGAGAAATTGGCTACAAACAAATGGAAGGAGACGTACTATTTTTTCTTGGTGGCACACACAGAGATCTTGCTCATTACTCAGAGGCAATCAAATGCCTAGAAGAGTCATTGGAAATATTAAAAAAATTTGGCAAATGCAAAGCAGAAGGAGAGTCATACCGACGTCTCGGAATGACCTATCAAGAGAAGGGCGATTATGACAAGGCGCTAGAATGCCATTTTAAGTCACTAGAGCTGATGGTAGAACACGGAGATGAGGTGGATGTAGGTGTTTCTTACAATAACATTGGCACTACCTACAATGCCATCTCCAGGAACTATGAAGCACTGAATTATTTCCAAAAGTCACTTGCTATTATGGAAAAATGTGCAAGAAAGAGAGAATTAGGAAAAGCTCATCATGGCCATGGCCTTTGTTATTCAGGGCTCGGTCGCTATGCGGAAGCCATGGAACACCAGCGACAAGCAGTGAAAATCTTGGAAGAAACTGGAACCATGTTCGAAATAGGCCGAGCCAGAAGTCTATTGGGGAACATGTACAATGTAATCGGCCAAATGAAGGAAGCAATGCATAGTTTTCAGAAAGCCATTAAATGTAGTCAGACTGCTGGGGACAGGAAAATAGAGTCAAACGCCTACCGTGGTCTCGGGGACGTAAGTGTTTGTTTAGGAAACCATTTACAAGGGGAAAAGTACTTCCAAAGAGCCCTTAAAATCGCAAAGGAAACTGGGGATAAAAACCAGGAGGCAAATAGCTACTCAGGCCTTGGTTTCTGCTACATGTCTTGCGGTCGATTTAAAGAATCTTTAGACAACTTTAACTTAGCAATTCCCATTATGGAAGAAATGGGAATTGATAGTGATTTAGCAGGAACCTTGATTAATGCTGGAAGTACATACAAAGCTCTTGGAAATCTGAAGAAAGCAAAGAAACTTCGAGAGAAAGCCCTTAAGATAACAAGAAAAATTGGAGACAAAGGAAGAGAACAGGAAGCCCTCCACTTGTTAGGAATCTCTTACAGTGAGGAGGGAGAGATAAAGAAGGCGAAAGCCTGCTTTTCTAAGAGCATTGCTTGCGCTGAAAAGAATCGCGAACTACTTCAGGACGAACATAAACTTTCACTGGATAACCTAACTTTTCTCAGCTATGAGAGCTTATGTTCGCTTCATATAAGTCAAGGGAATTTTTGTCAGGCACTGTGTGTCGCAGAGCGAGGACGCGCACGAGCTCTTGGCGACTTACTGTCTAAGAAATATGGTATCCAAAGGAAGAATTCACACGAATTTTATTCAAATAGTGTTAGGGAACTTTCTATCAGGAACCAAAGTACTATCCTCTTCATTGCCAAGCCTTTTGGTGGAAGAGAACTATATTCGTGGGTTTTGGAAGATGCAGAAATTCAATTTAAGTCTTTGCAATTCAAAATGGCAGAGAACCCTATCGATTTGCTTACGAATTTGCAAAGAGGACAATCTCTGCCTGAATGTGAAGATCGCTCACTGTCGGCATACCATGGATTAAAACCATCGTCTGAGAAAATAAAAGACAAACGCGGGCAGCGTCTCATGGAAGAAGAAGAGGAAGAAGGGGAAGAAAAGGAGGATTCTGGCTTCCACCGGTGGTTTAAGAATATTTTCACCCCTGTTGCTGATCTTCTTCATCGTCAAGAGATCATCATTATCCCGGAAGGCGATTTATTTATGGTGCCATTTTGTGCGTTATGTGATAACAACGACAAATTCCTGTCAGAGACCTTCCGAATCCGCCTGATTCCATCCCTAACAGCACTAAAGATGATCCAGGACAGTCCTGAAGACTATCACAGTGCAACTGGGGCGTTGATTGTTGGTAATCCTTCTGTTCCCCCACAAACAAAGTTACCATCATTGCCTGGAGCAAGAAGAGAAGCACTGGAAATTGCAGAATTGTTGGGTGTGTCGGCTACTGTAGGAGATGAAGCCACAAAGAAACAGGTCCTCCGACAGATTCGGAATGTTAGTTTGATCCACATTGCTGCCCACGGTGATGCAGAAAGAGGAGAAATTGCCCTTGCCTCAAATTGCCCCTCGAGACGAACTCTAAGGGAGGAAGACTTCATGCTTACCATGGAAGATGTAGCAAAAGTTGGTACCCGAGCTAAGCTGGTTGTACTCAGCTGTTGTCACAGTGGCAAGGGACAGATCATGAAATCAGAGGGAGTTGTGGGTATCTCTCGCGCATTTTTGGCAGCGGGAGCTCGCTCAGTGCTGGTTACCTTGTGGGCCGTAGATGACCGAGCAACGAAAGAGTTCATGATTCGTTTCTACGGACACCTGAAATGTGATAAACTGAGTGCTAGTGAAGCTCTTCACCAGACCATAAAGTGGATGAGAGATTCCAAGAGGTACAGAGTCAAGGACTGGGCACCATTTGTTTTGATCGGAGATGATGTCACTCTGGACTTATGAAAGATATAATACCTTTGAGTTGCGCAATAATCGTTGATCGGGTGCACAAGTTCTTCTATCTTAATGATCACGTACATGGATCTTATCAGCTCTTTATTTGAAATTGTCTGATTGGCGAGCACGCCACTCTAGATTTATGAGAGATGTTACAATGTTGTAGTGAGCAACAAAATAGTCATTATCACGGTCATATGTTTGTTTGTTTATGGATGTACATAAACCTTCAATAATTTTTCAATGTTGATGTTTCAGTAGTGAATGTTCAGATTTATAAACTCAACTAACATAGAGAAACCTTCAACTGGTCAAGACTTTGATCAAGCTCTACTATTTAAGAAATTGTATCAAAGTAGCTGGGAGATATGGAAAGTCTTGTCACATGCAGTATTCCACAAAGTTGTAAGAAAATTGTTTCATTAGCTCATTTAGGACTATTACCGTTTTATGGCAAAAAGTGCTAGAAGTGATGTTTTCCATATTGATTTTTTAACGGACTTAATTTTATATAGAAATAGGTTGAAAAATGTTTCTAGCAATTTAAGTAATTTGGCTAACGCCTGGATTTACTTCCTCTAGTGGTCCTTGTGATGAAGCAATACAACCATACGAGAAACTCAATCATATTTCAAAACTGTTCCCAAGTACAAAGGCGGTTATCGAAAGCACGCGTTAGTGACGTAAGCAAAGAAATAAAGACCGCTTTGTTTTTCTTTAGCCTTGACTGTGAATCAGAAAACTGAAAAACCTTTTTGATGAGATTCAAATATGTTTCGTTTATGAGCACCTAGCTCGTTCGTATTTATGTAAGTTGAAATTCGCAAGTGGTCATCTTATCCTCTATCGATAGAAATTTTGGGAACTGGCGTTACTTGACAGAGCAGAGATTAGCCGATTTACGCGAACACTGACAAGGCATTGCATCAAATTGATCAATGGTCAAACAATCGCTAGTGAAAAACTGCATTTTATCTCCGGGCAGGGTGATCTTGAAAGAGGAAGGGCCCTACAAAAATTATCTACAATTTCGTAGAGTCGAGTCAGTCTTCTTAAACTATTTAAGTTGGACAGTCCTCAGGCTCAAAAAATTGCCATTCATGAATGATTTCTGTTCATTGTCTTTGGGAGCCCAAATACATACATGCCTTGGTTTTCTGATGCTGTTCTGTAATGTCACGGTTGTTCAAGTAGTTCCATTGTTATGACCGTATCTATATATGTATTTGTTTTCTAATTTGCAGAAACATTGTCCCAGCTGTAACTCATGTTGACAGAGTCGACCGCAAGATAATAATTTTTGTTTTCGTCGCGCGTCAATTGTAGAGTAAAAGTGATGGTGAAATCATGGCTTTTGGTTTTTCTTACTCTATCAACTGAATTCAAATATGATGGTTTATTCATATATTATTGCTTACATTAAATGCCGTTTAATATGCGTCATGTGCTTTTGATATCACAGACAGTTCAGACAATTCATCAGTTATCTGCCATACCTCATACCTAAGTTGAAAGTTATTGTTACATGCACGACGTGCGCCTGTCAAAAGAGTCAATCGTTTCATCAAATCTTCTGGAGTTGTGTAATAAAGCGTTCCATCGATCAGATTTAATTTGCCTGAAGATCGATGTTTTGGCATTTCCGATAACATGTTGAGGTTGTTGAATATTTGAACGGCTTTGATTGAATATTTCTTTTTTGGATTGAATCGCTTTTTCAACAAATCAATCAAACGTTTGTCAGTTCTGTCCTCATATACAATTTGTCATAAACCTCGCCACGTTAATTATCAAACTCTTGTGTTGTCCGTTACCGATCTTATATGCATATCTTTTTAGTTGTTCGTATTTTCTGATGCCCTGTCCCTTTTTACCTATTACGTAATTCTTAGATATCGTTAGAGCAATGGAGTTCATAAGTAGAACGATAGCTTAGCACGTGCATTTTAGAACTTCGAACATTTTTTAAGCTGTCATCTACAAAGTAACAACGTGAAATCACCAATATTTGCGTGGTCATAGAAAGGGAACCCCGACGGCAAATTATTTAAATTTAAATTTGTAACTCAATACTGTTCACATACGTTACGCTGAAGTACAGGTGTAGAGCTGTAAGAGACGGTAAACACATCCAGCCATTCGCGAAAGCCCTAAAAATTACAAGAAACATTGGAGATACAGGAAAAGAACACGAGGCTCTTACCTTTCTCGGGATTTGTAATAGGAGAGAGGGAGAGCTAAAGAAAGCACATGATTTCTTTTCTGAGAGCATTACTTGCGCTGAAAGAAACCGTGAACTGCTGCGCGACGAACATAAACTTTCACTGGACAACATGACCTTTACCAGCTATTACGAATTATGTTCGCTTCGTATCAGTCAGGGACATTTCGCCGAGGCGCTGTGTACCGTAGAGCGTGGACGTGCACGAGCTCTCGGCGACTTACTGTCCAAGAAATATCTTAATTGTCTCAGGAATCTTTCCATCAAGAACCCGAGTACGATCCTCTTCATGGCTACGCATCGGTTTTACAAATATTTCTGGGTTTTGGAGGGTGGAGAAATTCAATTTAAGTCTTTGAAATGAAAAGTGGCGAAGGACGCCATAGAGTTGCTCAAGAATTTGCTAAGAGGGAAATCTGTGCCTGAATGCGAAGATCGCTCATTGTCAGCATACTATGGATTAAAATCATCATCTAGGGAAATAAAAGGCAAAAGCAGGCAGCGTCTCGTAGAAGAAGAGGAGGAAGAGGACGAAAAGGAGGCTACTGACCTCTACCAGTGGTATAATGATATTTTCGCCCCTATCGCTGATCTTGTTCATCGTCAAGACATCATCATCATCCCAGAAGGAGAGGATTTTATGGTGCCATTTTGCGCATTATGTGATCACAACGACAAATTCCTGTCAGAGACCTTCCGGATCCGCCTGATTCCATCACTGACAGCACTAAGGATGATCCAGGACAGTCCTGAAGATTACCACAGTGTAACTGGGGCATTGATCGTTGGTAATCCCTCTGTTCCCCCACAAACAAAGTTACCATCACTGCCGGAAGCAAGAAGAGAAGCACTGGAAATTGCAGAATTGTTGGGTGTGTCGCCTACTGTGGGAGACGAAGCCACCAAAAAGCACGTTCTCCAACGGATTCGGGACGTCAGCTTGATCCACATTGCTGCCCACGGCGATCCAGAAAGAGGGGAAATTGCTCTTGCCTCAAGTTTTCCATCCAGACGAAGTCCAAGGAAGGATGACTTCATGCTTACCATGGAAGACGTCGCAAAAGTTGGTACCCGAGCCAAGCTGGTTGTACTCAGCTGTTGTCACAGTGGCAAGGGACAGATTATGAAATCAGAGGGAGTTGTGGGTATCTCTCGCGCCTTTTTGGCAGCGGGAGCTCGCTCAGTGCTGGCTACCCTGTGGGCCGTGGATGACAGAGCCACGAAAGAGTTCATGATTCGTTTCTACGGACATCTTAAGCGCGATAAACTGAGTGCCAGTGAGGCCCTTCACCAGACCATGAAGTGGATGAGAGATTCCGAGAGATACAGAGTCAATGAGTGGGCACCATTTGTTCTGTTCGGAGATGACGTCAATATGGACTTATAGAAAGGTGTTATACCTTCGAACGGAACAACGAAAACAATCTTTCATCGAATCCAAAACATTAACTACCCTTCTGATGCTGTATGTACGTTTTATCATTTAAGCTGGCATTTCGAGAGTAACATGCAGTTGTTGAAGCTCGGTCATAGCGTTCAGCAAACATCGAGAAATCATTAACTGATTAAGATCAAGATGAATCTTTTCCTATTGATTTTGTCGAAGGTGATGTTCTTTATTTTTCTCAGACGTTCGACCTAACGTGAGGTCAAAAACTTTTAGCGATAGTTCTAAAAATTTTTTCGAGGTTTTAATTACAGCAAACCTCGATATCGTACAAAACTTATAGCACAAATAGTATTATGCAGTCCTATGCAAATTTTAGTTGGTTAATTTGGAGCACAATAGCGAGAAGTCTGCCCAGACCAAGAGTCCCAAACGGACCTTTTTATTCAAAATTATGTTGCGAATTTTCCAAGAACAATGTTTTTGGTGATAAGTTTTCAACATGATGTATAGTAACCTACATCATTTTATCTTTGGAGTTAACGTTGAAGCAAGTTAAGCAAGGAATGTGCAAATCCTGCAACAACAAAAAATTAGCTTTTCTTTGATTACTTAAGTAGTTTCTTTTGTGAATTTTAATGTAGGTAGAAAACTGCGATAAGTTTGTTATAGATTCAAAATAGGCAATCAGTCAGTTTTTATTGGAGAAGGACGAAGTTAATTTGCTTGAAATCGCATGAGCCAGTAATTAAGTTGTGTTAACCCTACCGGGAGTGATTGACAATTTACTTGCAAAAAAATTAGCTTTTCTTTGATTACTCAAGTAGTTTTTTTTTTGTTGTGAATTTTTTATGTGGGCAGAAAACTGCGATAAGTTTATTTTAAAGCCAAAATACAGAATCAGTCGGTTTTTATTGGAGAAGGACGAAGAATATCTAATTTAATTTTTCGCTTCGTTAATTTGCTTGAAATCGCATGAGCCAGTAGTTTAGTTGTGTTAACCCTTTAACTACCGGGAGTGATTGACACGTAACTTTCCCTTATATTACCCATACATTATCCAGCAAACAGGTATATATTTATATTCATCTTACGCCAAATTCTCGTATGCTATTTGTATGGAAATGTGTAATAGCTAGAGGGGAGAACGAACAATTGGTTCATGAGAGTTAAAGGGGCTAGTGAGGAATACCTGCAGCTGAGCTACAAAAGCATCGTGTCATTCACATATTCTGGTGAAATTTACAGTTTGTTGTGACGATCATATGTATATATTACTAAATTACGTAATGTCCAATCCGGAATAATCTGCATTTGTTTTAAATTTAGGGTATCTCGTTTCTTTTTAGCCTATAGGCCACAGTAAGGCGGCAAATACGTTCTTCGAAAAAATGTTTTTACCCAAAAAATTAGAATTAATTATCTTGTGGAAGTCTTCCTAAACAAGTCTTCAATGGTCACGACCTGAATACAATACAAAAACTTACCAGGGAATCAATGTGTGAACCATTGACATAAAGTTGTTCCTCTGTTATAGGAGCTAAGAAAAATTTTGTCAGGGTTAGGTATTAAGCGGTTTCCAAAACCAAAGTGATCACAACAGCCAAATATAACAAAGTTTAGAATCATCACCAGACAATTAAAACTAAAAGTAGAAAAAAACAGGCCATTGGTTTTAGTTTTACATCTGATTGGTTGAGATGATGGCACGAATCTTATTGACCAATCATGAAGCGAAGGAAAGCCAGACTAAAGCAACCTCTGTGACTTTTGACACTAAATTAAAAACTGATTTAATGCAAACATGTTCTTGAAGAGGTATTATTACACCCGGGGATCATCTTAGTACGCATGTGTGAGACACAACTAGAGGAGCTTACTTTAGCGCAGATATGCTTAATTGACACTCGTCTTTTGTAGTGAAATCTTTCCTCTCATCTTTGTTTTCGATGGAGAGCTCAGCGTGTATCGAGACACTGTATTATCAGAAAATTTTCTTTACAAGTTAGTTCAATCGAGCAAAACTTCTCTGTTTTTTCCAGACACACGGCTGTGTCGGTGACGAGTAAAGGAGATCAGTTTGGAAATCTATTTCATATATCCTGGGCGATTCGAAGCGGCGCGTCATTTCGGGAAGATACTCGGACACTTACTTCTAAAAATATCAAAGTTGTACACTCAACAGTCTCGTGGCCGCGCCAACTTTCCATAGGTACGGGTATGAGTGCGCTTTCTTTATCAGGATGTGACTGATAGGACAGCGGCACACAGGTGCCAAAGATAGAGCCATTCATCTGCACACACCACTGCGCTCTTAATCGGCGCATCGTTTATCCCCTTCTCTTTTCCATTGTTTAAATTGTGTTTGTCAAACGCGCTAACGACCTGCTCAATCAAAATATCGTGACTTCATATGCTCCAGAGGAGATGATTGGGGTTTATGATGAGTATCCCCCAGTGTAATTTGTTTCATGGGTTAGAGTCGTGGAGAAAGTATTAAACGGGGTAAGTTTCTGAAGAAACTGTGGTGCTGTTTCGAGCGTTAGACCTTCGTCAGAGCGCTCTGCAATTTGAAGAAAGTCGCCAATGTTTAGCTAAAAAAACTCGCTGATTTACTGAGTTTTTGGATTTTTTAGATGCGCTTTTCACCAATCGAAATGGGACATGTAAACCCCATGACACGTAAGCCCCATGAGCTCAGGTAAGTTCCAGAGAAGAGACGTTACTTGGGCTTTCCAAAGGAAAGTTTTTCTTCCGTTTAGTTGCAAATCGCAGTCAAGTCCTTAACACGCATGCATGACGGTTTTTTTTTTTGCTCAGACGCATGCGCGATCTTTTCACTGATGAGCACATGGCATATGGTGTGATGGTGGAAGAAGAGAAGTTTTAGCAGTACAAAATCAGCACAGATACTAAGTATAATACGCCGAAAACGCATATAAAATATGCACGCAGCGTTGGTGGTAGACCCACACTAAAAGATGTCGAGAAATCTTTTTAAGAGAAATCTTTTTATAAGCAAACATTTATGAGTGAACCTTCCGCAAGAAACATGCTGTTCTGTTATGTAAATGCTAAAAACTATTGAATAAAACGACATTTAAGTTTAACTGTTGTGAAAAAATTCGTCAAAGTATAAGAAAGATAAAATATCAAGTCAGTCAATATTTAACATTGCTTTTTTCTTGTAACAAACTGATGTGTTCTCGCAAGAGTAAGGCTCACAGCAAGTTATTGCAACTATAAATTAAGTAGAGACAAAATCCTTGTCCTCAAATATATGTTGAACTTACCAAAACAATAGCAGCTCCATATAGTCTGGGTAACGAGTTAGTTTTTAGACAGAATGCAGTTCAACAATGTGTGCCAATGAGTTTGTGCTCTTTGCTTTACAATAACGCATATGGGAACAGCTCTTCATATGAACTTATACCTCATAAATAAATTTTTTTATTTTTTTTGTTAGATGATAAGTTCTACTATTAAACCCTTAAAATAATTATCAATGTAATTAGTAGACATGTGGTCATATGAAAAAATATTAAAACTATCCTAATCTTACAGTGTGTCTTTATCCTCAGTGCTTATATACAGAATGAAAACAACTAGATAATCTTCATATGCAAACGAAAATTTGCAATCACTGTAATTAGCAGACTCTGAATTTTTTGGCCATTATCAACTGCTACAAACTAAATAGTCATTTTTCATTCAAGGGCTATTGAAAATAGTGGTTTTGATTGTAGTGATTTCAATAAGCCTGGGTACTGCAGATGAATCATATTCAAGTTATTACATACTAAATGCTTTGTCACCTTTTGTTACTTTGCATGTTTTAGAGTAATTTTCATTGCCCCATGAAATAAAAAAAGAGACTCTTTGGTTTGTAGTAGTTGATATAGAACAAAAGAAAACGAAAGATTCACAACACACCACTAACTATTAGTTACCCTATTTTTTCACAGAAAATGAAAGTCACTTAAAACACCAACCGTTAATTGGTATTCTTCAGGTTTATTGAAATCACTCTAACCAATAAACCAGAATGAATTAACTAAAGTATACTAGCCCTGTAACTCCAAATAGAAACAAACAAATTGGAAGGTAATAGTGCAAAATATGCTAAAGTATATTTCACAGGTTTATGAGAACCACTCTAACAACCCCATAAAATTAATTGTTCATCTGCTAATAAGCTCTGGTGGTGACTTTTTTTTTCTCTTGGTGATAAGAAACTTAAACAATTGATTTTCTTGCGTGGGTTAAGTATCATCACCCTAGCACTTGGGGCTGTTATAATTAAAAGCTATCTCAGCCTGGAATCTTTTGTCAACCTAGAAAAAGAAAACATAAAAGGACAGCCTATTTGGCAAATGACTTACCCCGCTTCAGCCCCTTAACCCACAAAACAAAATTTGATCAAGTCAAAACTGAAAAAAATGGAGATAGTGTCTAGTAATAAGTATTGAAATGGCAGCCAATAATATGTGGCACTGCCTCCCCCACCCCACCCCACCCCAGAAAAGGATCTTCACACTAAATAACAAATGCTGTTTTCCGCTCTCTGTATACATATGTGAGAAACCTGCATCTCTGGCATACCAAGACAGAGAACATTCACAGGATGAACCAATAATTGCATAAAAAACTTAGGCAAATGTAGGCACAAAAAAAACTTTCTCTCCAACAGAAAGCCTGAGTGAACGCAAATACACATCCAGTTTTTTTTTAATAAAACTGTTCTAACTGTAGGAAATGGACACCACTACATCAATTGCATGTACATACCACTGTCTTCTTTCTTCTCTAAATGGTGCTAGAGTTGAGGTCAAGCAGGTTTTCTCTCCACGCTGTAAATGGATTACAGGTTAGTGGATGCTGGTTAATGAGTCAGAACAAATAAATGAGCAGAGAGTTTTCAAAATGCTGCATGCGCGGGAGGAAATTGTCAAGGTGGATTACCAAGCAGTGAGACAAATCAAAGAGACAGCTTGTGTTGAAACTGGATTCTGCCATCAATGAACTGATTAGCAAGCGTGTGGTCACAATAATTGAGCTGAATGATTCTGATGTGCACAAGATGCCCAGGAGAAAGACAGTCATTAATATCCTGATGGTAAGTATTGCATGTGGCTTTTGCTGTACATTGATTCTCGTTTTCTATTTTGGATGATGATTTTCATTGTGATTTACATGTTTAATGTTAGCCTTGATCAAAGAGTCTGATGACTCAGGAGTAATTTGTTACTGCAGCCTGGTGAGAATCAGACAAAGCTTACTGTTTTCTCTTACAGATCAATGCACTTGACTCAGGAGAACACTAAAAAAGCTTTAAATTACTTGCCTCCAGCTTGAGATTTACAAACTTTTTTCTAAACATCCTGCATGTGTTATTTTGGGGGTAAACCATAGAAAGTGAGTGTGGTCTTGTAGAATTCAAACATACATATGTGTATATATAAATATTTATATGTGTGTGTGTGTGTGTGTATATATATATAGAAACATACAACTGCACTGTATTTAATTTTTGTTTAGTGACCACTTAAATCAATTGACAGTTTTGACCAAGTTAATTTGCTTTTAGACCACTTGCCCAACCACTTGCCTTGCAGTGACAAGTCAAACCCAAGACCCAAGCCAGCTCAGCTTCCTAACCATCCTTTGCAAACTGACACTGTAAAACATAAAACTTAAGATTCTTATGCATGCAAAAAAGACAGTTGTTCAGACAGGGTAGTACATGTGCATATGCATGCACATAGGGGCTAGCATTCAGTAAACTTTGCAAGCGACTTTGTAGAATTTTGCTGGTTACTTCAGTCATTTGCTGAAGTTGCTACTAAGGTCACAGTATGGATTTACTGGTATATGCACTGTAAAATGTTATAACCAACACAGTTACCTTTTTTTAAAAATCTTCCCACTTCAAAATTTATTGTAAACTCTGTCTTCAGTCAGTAGCTCAAGTTGATACAAATATGATATAAAGATTTACTTAAAAAATCATACCCTACATACTTGACTTTTGGAAATATTTTCTGTCAGAAGTTATAAACATGAAAGAAACAAAAAATGATATTGTTATTGTTGTCTTGATGTACATTTATCAATCCACATAGTTTATAATTGTATTTTGTAATTGCCATCAGTGTGGTTTTCTCAAAAGTTTTCTTTTACATTTCTTTACAGCTTAATTTTGTCTGCAAGAAAATACTCTAAGGCAGGGAGGAAACTGTTGTATCACCATCATTATTTTACAGTATTGTTAGCCTTGAAAATCTGTCAGTGAGAGTTTCAAAAAGTTGTTAGCATAAAATATTTCAGGGTAGGATTGCTATGTCAAAACAAAATATTCTTCACACCTATGTTCACAAAATTGAGTGCTATTAGCTGCATTGTACTTTTTGCAGAGTACAGTGCTCATTGTGCTGTTTCTTTGTAGTTGCAATTTAAAGAGTGTATTTATGCTAGTTTCCAGGCTTAACCTGTGGAATATTCAGTAGTTTCTTAAACACTGTTTTGATGTATGTCTATCTTAGTCAAAGCATGGACTCTACTTGAAGTTCCACAAGCTGCAATTTGCTGCCTGCTTGGCTGTCTTTGCAGTGGTGGCTATTATTGGAGTTCACGTACCTTCACCTGCTGTTTGTGGATGTTCTTCTGCAAACCACCAGCCCCAGGCAAGAATATCAACCTCAAAGACTTTGAGGACAAGTTTTCATATGATGGGGAGTTTGAAGCTCCAGCTTTGGAACATAAGGTTCCCATTGAGAAGCAGAAGGTGGTCATTGATGCATGAAAGCAACTTTTTTAAAAATACACTTGTAATTGTTAAACTTAAGCTAGTTATCTTTCTTTGTTTTTGTAATGGTTGTCTGACATAGTTGGGTTGTTACATATCAAGCATGATTAATTGTACCAAAACTGTATGTATACTGGTATTTAGCATAATAAAGTCAAAAGGTTCAAAGTCTGATCAGGACCACAGTGAGCTCTGATAGCTGAAGGTTTTCCATTGAGTTTGCTTGGCCCAGGGCTTCAAGCAGCTTTCTTTGTGTTTCAACTTAAAATCTCAAAGCTATGTTATCTATTGTGAACTCAAAGCTATTATTCTGAATATATATACAGGAGCAATCAACCAATTAAAATATACACTCTAGAAAGTTATGGTCAAAATGTATTTTTTTTCCGTTAAGCTTGTGTACTATCCACTCTGTCAGAAAATCAGGAATTTTACCAGTATTTGTGACTTGTGTTATTTCAAGGTTGCATATTAAGGTTAGTGAACAGGAGAGGATTAGACTGTGACTTGTTCCACCAATTCTGTAGGCAAACTATGATAAATTGCATTAGAAAATACAGCAAACAAAAAATCATGATCCTAAACCTACTAAATAATCTCTAGCACCCCTATTTCCATTCCAGAAAAATTCATGGAGAACAAACTTTTGGAACCCTTGTGACCATGATGACAAAGTCTTGGTCACTGTCACTGAATAGTTTAAAGTTCACAGAGAGACCACTGTTGCTTGAGATTGGTGGCAGGAACTAGTTTCCATACCTTTTTACCATTGTTAAGGTAGGACACCTTTTTTTTCTTTTGATAGATTGCCAAGCAATGCTTTCTGAGATGTTATCTTTTAGTGTCCCATATCTAACAGTATTCTTTATTTTTTATGTAACAGGAAAAATAGATATTTGAATTGTTTTGTTTGAATAATGACCAGTTTACTTGCTATAGCATTTTACATGATTGTACATCTGTAAGTAGTAAAATCGATTAAGTTATAAGAAACTTTTGTTTGTATATATAGATGTAAACACTTGTTCTGAAATAAATGCGCATGTTACGCTGTGGAAAAGTGGGTTTCGAGTCTGTCTGCAGTGAATTTTTTTGTTGACCACATTTTTGTGGAGTTGCAGTCTTGCTCTTGGTGCAAGCCCAGGCTGAGTGACTATGGTTCGTTGTCTTATCCTCCGGCTCACTAAGTGATACATTGCTCTCCTGTCAAGTGCAGTATGAGCTTGAGTCGCACATGATTTCTAACTTTGCTCTCTCCTTATGAATTTACTCTTTGCAATATTTGGTACTATTCATAACTATAGTAAACCCAGTCAAATATTAAATCTAGTTTCAACAGGCAGAGGGGATCAATTTATAAAGCTGACTCTTACTGAAGGCCCGGTTTTTCTATGAAACTGTTATCAGACTAACCCCTTGTTTCCTTCTTTGTTGCTGATTCCTCAGTTATCTTTCCACGTCATTCGTTAATATTGCTCTGTTTTCTTCTTCATAACCTTTATAACGCATTTTCTGTCCTTCGACACCAGTTCATCGACCATCTGTGCGGTTCGATGTTCTGCTATAGAGTTGCAAGAGGCCAGCGGACTAGTTTGCATAGTAAGTAGGTCAGTGCAAGACTAAGGCAAATATCGCAAATAAGAACAAGTTCCTAGAGTGAAACTAAGTGTTAATTATCTATGTTACAAAATTAGTCAAATACCAAAGTTTCATCGCGACAAATAAGAGATATATTCGTTTATTTGCTCGAATGTATCCATGTGATTATCAGCACGTTGTGTGTATATTTATGCGAGGAAATAATCTCAAATTGTTCGATTAAATGAAGGGTTATCAACCGAGTTACTCTTTTAAACTACGTACCTCCTTAAAGAATACAAAAGCAGGTAAACAAAGAAACGATCACGTTCAATAACGAGCAATAACTCTTCACCAGGTCCTCTCTAATTCGCAAGAAACCGGGGACTGGCCATTACACCTTTGAATAAATTTAATGATCAGAAAGATATATTTTCTTTTAACACATTGAGTCACTTACCCACAGACAACTTCTTACTGGACTGTATTTTTAAGTTTTAGGACTTGTCGCTGAGAATAGATATTCGATTAATATTTTGCCGTGTTTGTAATTAAAAATCATCCAGCTCCCACGCGTTTCCTTTTAAGTGTTCAGACAATAAACTGTTGGCTGCTGTGAGGGGGTTAATAGTGACGTCATCCATGTATCCCTCCCCTAATAGATGAGTAAGAACCTATCAAAAGGCGTGTAGGACTCAGCTTATCATGTAAATGGTCACTCTCTCTCGCTTCTGTGAAAATCGTGGTGTGGTGACGGGGTAATTTTTATGACCTTATCCACAGATTCGGAGAAATCCAAATGAAGAATTTCCTCATAACATGCAGGGTAGCAGACTTTCTCTTCAACAGTCATCTGTATCACAAAGCTATTGATATGTACAAGGAGGCCCAAGTCTTGTTGAAAAGAAATAAAGTCGAACGTAGTAACGACCCTGAACTTTTGTTACATTATAAACTAGCAATTTCTTACGGTTGTGTAAATGAGTTCAAGAAAGCATTGGATAGCTACAAAAGACTTTTAAAAATCAACGAGGAAGTTGGGAATAGAGACTGGGAAGTAAGAACATACAGAGACATCACTAAAATGCACAGTTTTATGGGTCGACACGCGCAGTCGATTTTCTTTTTACGAAAACTTCTTCAAATTGCTAAAGAAACTGAGGACAAACGAGCAGCAATAGAGACTTATTTAGCCATGGGTTATAATTATTACAATCTGAATAAGCGAGATAAATTCATCGAGTGTTACAAGGACGCACTTGAAATCTGTGGAGAGATCGGAGATAGACGAAAGGAAGGAGAAATACTTTGTAGGATTGGTTACACCTACAAAGACCTCACTAATTTCCCCGAAGCGATCAGATACCTAGAAAATGCCTTACAATTATTCAAAGAAATTGGCGAATGCAAAGAAAAGGGAGGCTTATATCAAGCTCTGGGCATGACCTACCACGAGAAGGGTGATTTTGGCAAAGCTCTCGAATACCATTTCAAGTCTTTGGAGTTGATGAAGAAACATGGAGAAGAAGTCGATGTGGGTGTCTGCTATAACAACATTGGTACTACTTACAATGCAATTGGTAAACACAGCGAAGCACTTGAGTATTTCAAAAACACTCTTGAAATTATGAAAAAATGTGGAGACAAAGTATTACTAGGAAAAGCCCACCACGGTCTTGGACTGTGCTATACTTCGATCGGTCAGTTCGCAGACGCTATCGAACACCAGGTTGAAGCAGTAAAAATCCTTGGGGAAACTGGACTCAAATTTGAAAAGGGTCGAGCCCTCGCTGTACTGGGAACGTCTTACAGCACAATTGGCCACAAAAGAGAAGCTATGAATAGTTTTCAGGAGGCCATTCAATGTAGTCGGGCAGTTGGGGATAGGAGAGTCAAATCAAATGTCTACCATGGTCTTGGCGATGTGTACGTTTGTTTGGGAGACACTGAAAAAGGAGAGATGTATCTAAAGAAATCTCTTGCTCTAGCAAAAGAGACAAGAGATAAAAGCAACGAGGCCGAGGCCTACGCAGGACTCGGGTTCTGCTACATGTGTTGTGGTCGACATACCGAATCTGTTGAAAACTTCAACTTAGGAATTTCTCTAATGCAAGAAATTGGAAGTAAACCCGGCGAAGCTACAGCTTTGATGAATCTCGGATCCGTACACCAGAAAATTGGAAAACGTAAGGAAGCAAAACAATTTCTACAAAAAGCACTCCGAATTACACGACAAATCGGAGATAAAGGAGCAGAACAAGAGGCTCTTACCTTGCTAGGGATTTGTCATACGAAGGAAGGAGAGGTAAAGAAGGCATATGATTGCTTTTTACAGAGCATCACTCGCGCTGAAAAGAACCGTGAACTACTGCGCGACGAACATAAACTATCTTTGGACAACGTAACCTTCACTAGCTATTACGAATTATGTTCGCTTCATATCAGTCGGGGACATTTTGCCGAGGCGCTGTGCACTGTAGAGCGCGGACGTGCACGAGCTCTTGGCGACTTACTGTCCAAGAAATATGGTATCCAAAGACACAATTCACACAAATTTTATCTTAATAGTGTCAGGGATCTTTCTATCAAGAACCCACTGAGTACGATCCTTTTCATGGCTACGCATGGGTTTGACAAATATTTCTGGGTTTTGGAGAATGGAGAAGTTCAGTTTAGGTCTTTGAAATGTAAAGTGGCAAAGGACGCCATCGAGATGCTCACGAGTTTGCTAAGACGAAAATCTGTGCCTGAATGCGAAGATCGCTCATTGTCAGCATACTATGGATTAAAATCATCATCTAAGGAAATAAAAGACAAAAGCAAGCAGCGTCTCGTGGAAGAAGACGAAGAGGAAGAGGAAGAAAAGGTGGATACTAACCTCTATGAGTGGTATGATGATCTTTTCGCCCCTATTGCTGATCTTGTTCATCGTCAAGACATCATCATTATCCCTGAGGGTAAAGATTTTATGGTGCCATTTGGTGCATTATGTGATAACAACGACAAATTCCTGTCCGAGACCTTCCGAATCCGCCTAATTCCATCACTGACAGCACTAAGGATGATCCAGGACAGTCCTGAAGACTATCACAGTGCAACTGGGGCGTTGATCGTTGGTAATCCGTCTGTTCCCCCACAAACAAAGTTGCCATCATTACCAGCAGCAAGAAGAGAAGCACTGGAAATTGCAGAGTTGTTGGGTGTGTCGGCTACTGTAGGAGATGAAGCCACAAAGAACCAGGTCCTACGGCGGATTCAGGAAGTCAGTTTGATCCACATTGCTGCCCACGGTGATCCAGAAAGGGGGGAAATTGCTCTTGCCTCAAGTTTTCCATCTAGACGAACTCTAAGAAAGGATGACTTCATGCTTACCATGGAAGACGTCGCAAAAGTTGGTACCCGAGCCAAGCTGGTTGTACTCAGCTGTTGTCACAGTGGTGACGGACAGATTATGAAGACTGAGGGAGTTGTGGGTATCTCTCGCGCCTTTTTGGCAGCAGGAGCTCGCTCAGTGCTGGCAAGCCTGTGGGCCGTGGATGACCGAGCCACAAAAGAGTTTATGATTTGTTTCTACGGACATCTGAAGCGCGATAAATTGAATGCCAGTGAGGCTCTTCACCAGACCATGAAGTGGATGAGAGATTCTAAGAGGTACAGAATTAGGGACTGGACACCGTTTGTTTTGATCGGAGATGACATCACTCTGGACTCATGAAAAGGTGTTACACCTTTGAACTGCTTAACAGAAACGAACTTTCATCGGGTCCAAAACTTTAACTATCCTACTGATGGTGTATATAGGTCTTACCATTTCAGCCGGCATTCTGAAAGTAACATGCAGTTGTTGATTCTCAGTTATAACGAGTAGCAAACATCTAGAAATCATTAACTTACTAAGACCAAGATGAAACTTTTTCTATTGATTTTGTTGATGGTGATGTTCTTTATTTTTTCGCAGACGTTGGACCTAACGTGAGGTCAAAAACATCTAGCGATAGTTCTGAAATTGTTTCGAGGTTATAATTACAGCAAACCTAGATATTGTGCAAAATATATAGCACAAGTAGTCGCATTGCAGTGCTGTGAATATTTAATTTCGTAAATTTGGAGTACAATGGCGAGAAGTCTGCTCAGACCAATAGTCCCAAACGGACCTTTTTAATTCAAAATTATGTTGCGAATTTTCCAAGTAAAATGTTTTTGAGGATAAGTTTTCAACATGATATATAGTAAACATACATCTTTTTATCTTTGCAGTTAACGTTGAATATGATTTTAACAAAAGTGAGTACATGTAAACCATAAAGCAAGGTATGCGCAAATCCTCCAACAAAAAAACATATAGCTTTTCTTTGATTACTCAAGTAGCTTTTTTTTGTAAATTTGATGTAGGCAGAAAACTGCGATAAGTTTATTATAAAGCCAAAATACACAATCAGTCAGTATTTATTGGAGGAGGACGAAGAACATCTACCATATTATTTAATTTTCGCTTCGTCAATTGGCGTCTTATTTGCCTGAAATCGCATGAGCCAGTAGTTGAGATATCTTAACCCTTTCACTCCCACGAGTGATTGACTCTCAACTTCTCCCTATATTATCTATACATTATCCAGCAAACAGGTAACGAGTAATGAGAATACTCAGATTTATTAGGTGGGAGTTGTTACATTGATCTAACACCAAATTCTCGTAACCAATTTGCATGGAAATGTGTAACAGCTAGAGGGGAGAACGAACAATTGGTTTATGAGAGTAAAGGGGTTAATGAGGGATACCTGCGGCTGAGCTACAAAAGCATCGTCTCATTCACATCTTTTGGAGAAATTTAGTTTCTTGCGATGATCATATTTATATATTAATAAATTATGCGATGTCCAATCCAGAATACCGAGTTCCATGCGTTTTCAATACACTTTCAGAAATTAGAGACGAACTCGTTTAACTGTCCGAGTTTTACTTCTTTGACTAGAAATGATGAAAAATTCAGGGTATTTCGTTTCCTTTTTAGCCTACAGGCCACAGTAAGGCCGCAGATACGTTCTTCAAAAAAAGGTGCTTACTCAAAGAAAAAAATGAAAATGAATTCTCTTGTGGAGATCTTCCTAAACAAGTCTTCAGTGTTCACGACCTGAATACAATTAAAAAACTTAACAGGGAATCAGTGTGTGAACCATTAGCATAAGGTTGTTAGGGTTAGGTACTAAGCGCTTCCGAAACCAAAGTGACTCCAAAAGCCAATTGAAACAAAGTTTAGAATCATCACAAGGTAATTAGAACTAAAAGTAGGAAAAAAAAAACAGGCAAACTGCTTGAGGCGCGGGAAAACGTGTGGGACCAAGTTGCCACTGGATCTAGTTTTACATCTGATTGGTTGCAACGGTGGCGCGAATCTTATAGACAAATCATGAAGCGAAGAAAAGCCAAACTAGAGCGACCTTTATTACTTTTGACACTAAATTAAAAACTGATTTAATGCAAACGTGTTCATGAAGAGGGATCATCACACCCGTGGACCAACTTCTAAAAATATCATACGCACAACAGTCTCGTAGCCGCACCAACTTTCAATAATTACAGGTATGTGTGCGCTTTTCTTATAAGGATGTGATTGATAGGACAGTACACAGGTACCAAAAATAAAGCCATTCATCTGCAAACACCACTGCCCACATGATCGGCGCATCGGTTATGCCCTTCTCTTTTCCGTTATTTAAATTGTGTTCGTCGAATGCGCTAGCGACCTGCTCAATCAAAATATTGTGACTTCAAAGGTTTCTGAGAAGGTTATTTTGCGGTTTACGATGGAATAATCAGCACAGATCTGAATGTGTCCCCCCTGCGTAGTTTGTCTAATGGGTTAGAGAGTCATGGAGGAAGCCCATGAACTCAGGTATATCCCAAGGAATAGACGTTTTTACTCGGGCTTTCCAAAGGAAACGCCCAAGATGAAATTCCGGCTATGTTCTTTCTTTCGTTAATTTGCAAATCGCCGTCAAGTCATCCACACGCATGCAAGACGCTTTTTGACTCAGACACATGCACGACGTTTTCACTGATGAGCACATGGTATGGTTTAATGGCGGAAGAAGAGAAGTTTTAGCGGTGCAAAATCAGCACAGATACTGTGTACAATACGCTGAAAACGCATATAACATATGCACACAGCGTTCAAGGTAGACCCACAATAAAAGATGTAGAGCATTTTCGGAACGGATCGGTCCGCGAACCTTGTCAGAGATCTCTTTAAGAGCGAACATTTACGAGTGAACCTTCGGCAAGAAACATGCTGTACTGTTATATAAATGCTGAAAACTATTGAATAAAAACGACATTTAAGTTTAACTAATATCGAGCCAGTCAATATTTAACATTGCTTTTTTCTTGTAACAAACTGATGTGTTCTCGCATGAGTGAGGCTCACAGCAAGTTATTGCAACTATAAATTAAGTAGAGACAAAATCCTGGTCCTCCAATATATTTTGACCTCACCAAAACAATAGCAGCTCCATGTAGTCTGGGTAACGAGTTAGTTTTTAGACAGAATGCAGTTCAACAACGTGTTCCAATGATTTTGTGCTCTTTGATTTACAATAACACATATGGGAACAGCTCTGCAAATGAACTTATACCTCATAAATAAATTTTTTTATTTTTTTTGTTGGATAATAATATCTACCATTAAACCCTTGAAATAATTTTCATTGTAATTAGTAGATATGAAGTCATATGAAAAAACATTAAAACTATTCTTATCTTACAGTGTCTTTTTCCTCAGCGCTCAAATACAGAATGAAAACACTTAGATAATCTTCATATGCAAACGAAAATTTGCAATTACTGTAATTGGTAGACTCTGAATTTTTGTTAATTATCAACTGCAAGAAACTAAATATTCAATTTTCATTCAAGGGCTATTGAAAATAGTGGTTTTGATTGGAGTGATTTCAATAAGCCTGGGTACTGCAGATGAATCATATTCAAGTTATTACATACTAAATGCTTTGTCACCTTTTGTTACTTTGCATGTTTTAGAGTAATTTTCATTGGCCCATGAAATAAAAAAAAAGAGACTCTTTAGTTTGTAGTAGTCGATATAGAACAAAAGAAAACGAAAGATTCACAACACAACCCCTAACTATTAGTTACCCTATTCTTTCACAGAAAATGAAACTCACTCAAAACACCAACAGTTAATTAGTACTCTCTGGGTTTAATGAAATCACTCTAACCAATAAATCAGAATGAAATAACTAAAGTATACAAGCCCTGTAACTCCAAATATAAACAAACAAATTGGAAGGTAATAGTGCAAGATATGCTAAAGTATATTTCACAGGTTTATGAGAACCACTCTAACAACCCCATAAAATTAATTCTTCATCTGCTAATAAGCTCTGGTGGTGACATTTTGTTTTCTCTTGGTGATAAGAAACATAAACAATTGTTGTTCTTGTGTGTGTTAAGTGTAATCACCCTAGCAATTGGGGCTGTTATAATTAAAAGCTATCTCAGCCTGGAATCTTCTGTTAACCTAGAAAAAGAAAACATAAAAGGACAGCCTATTTGGCAAATGACTCACCCTGCTTCAACCCCTTAACTCACAAAACAAATTTTGATCAAGTCAAAACTGAAAAAAAAGGAGATAGTGGTTAGTAATAAGTATTGAGATGATAGCCAATAATGTGAAAAGGATCTTCACACTAAATAACTAATGATGTTTTCCACTCTCTGTATACATATGTGAGAAACCTGCATCTCTGACATACCAAGACAGAAAACATTTACAGGATGAACCAATAATTGCATAAAGAAACTTAGGCAAATGTAGGCACAAAAAACAAATTTTCTCTCCAACAGAAAGACTGAGTGAACGCAAATATGCATCTATTTTTTTTTTATAAAACTGCTCTAACTGTAGGAAATAGACACCACTACATCAAATTGCATGTACATATCACTGTCTTATTTTCTTCTCTGACTGGCACTAGAGTTGAGGTCAAGCAGGTTTTCTCTCTATGATGTAAATGGATTGCAGGTTAGTCAATGCTGGTTAATGAGTCAGAACAGATAAATGAGCAGAGAGTTTTCAAAATGCTGCATGTGCGGGAGGAAATTGTCAAGGTGGATTACCAAGCAGTGAGACAAATCAAAGAGACAGCTTGTGTTGAAACTGGATTCTGCCATCAATGAATTGATTAGCAAGCGTGTGGTCACAATAATTGAGCTGAATGATTCTGATGTGTACAAGATGCCCAGGAGAAAGACAGTCATAAATATCCTGATGGTAAGTACTGCATGTGGCTTTTGCTGTACATTGATTCTCATTTTCTATTTTGGATGATTATTTTCTTTGTGATTCACATGTTTAATGTTAGCCTTGATCAAAGAGTCTGTTTACACAGCAGTACGTTGTTACTGCAGCCTGGTGAGAATCAGACAAAGCTTACTGTTTTCTCTTGTAATGTGTGGTAGACATGATCTAAAACATGTGCTTACTTACAGATCTATGCACTTGACTCAGACAAACACTCGAAAAGCTTTTAAATTACTTGCCTCCAGCTTGAGATTTAAAAACCTTTTCTCCCAACATCCCGCATGTGTTATTTTAGAGGTAAACCATAGAAAGTGTCAGTAGTCTAGTACAATTCAAACAGACGAGGAGGAATAACAATGCCCTTAGTTAGCTTGTGTTAACCAAACCATAATGAGCTC